TCCTTCCAGCGCTCGTCGATGCATTGCTTCTGCCTCCTCGTACTTGCCCTGCCTCGACAGCACCGACCCAAGCTGGCTGACGCTGGTGAGCGTGTTGGGATGCTCGCGCCCAAGCGCCTCCTCCCTCGCCACCACTGCACTGCGCCCAATCCGCTCCGCCTTCGCATACTGCCCCATCAGCATCAGGTACCACGCCGTGTTGGTCGCGATCGTCGCTCGGTCCAGCTTCGCCTCGTCGTCCTTCTCTGTGCTGTAGCCGAGCACCTTTGTCGAGTGTGGAAGCAGAGTCCGACAAGCCGCCCACGTTTCGTGCTGACCGCTGGGAAACGCCGCAGCCATGATTCGTAGCGCTGTTCTCTGCCACACACCGACTTGACCGTGCAATTTCACCCATTCTCGCGTTGCCAGCTGCACCAAGCTGTGCATCTCAAACAGTCGCTCTTGGAGTCGCATCTCTGACCGCTCTCTAGCTTGTGCCCTAATTAGAGAGAAGCGTAACAGCGGCCCTACAGCTTCTGTGAACTGCAGCTTGCTTCTGCCCTCATACAGTACGTGTTCGGGGATACCCTGTCTGTCGAACATGGTCATCAGCGAGAGCAGGTCCGCCGCCTCAGGCCTCGTCTTTCGGATCTGGTCGAACGACAGTTGCCAGGTGGTGATGACCGCGTCTGACAAGCTGGCATCCCGCCGTAGGTCTCTTGCGTCCTCGCTGTTCAGGAGAGACGCTTGGTTCGCCTCGCTTTCAAGGAACATTTGGAGATATGCAGAGAGGTCTATGACTGGCCAGTACACTTCAATGTATGCAGCCGCGTGGGTGACAGCGAGCGGGATGCCTTCCAGCGTCTGGACAAGCGCTCTCGCGTCGCCCTCAGACGACTCATCCACCTGCGTCTTCGACATCAGCAACGTCAGCGCGTCTTGATCGCCCATCGGGTCCACATGAACCACGTTGCGTCGCGCTCCTACTAGGTTCATAGCAGCGACCAGGTCTCGCGAGGTGACTAGTATCCAGCCGTTTGCCGCTTGCGGAAGGAAGCTTGCCAACGGCGCCGCCGCCGCTTCCTGAGCGGGTTCAAGCCCTTGGGCAGCGCCACCTGAAACGTCGGTAGCGCCGGGAGAGGCGAACACCCGATCGTCATCAGCGTTGTCGACGATCATCAGCCACCGCCCGTTCCTCTCGTCGCAGAGCCAGTTGTGCACCGAACGGAAGATGTCCGTTTTAGGGTCGTCGCGCCCCGGCAGCTCGACTCTGACGGCGATCTCTCGATACGCTTGCTCGAACCTGGCCGTAGTGCTCGCGTGCACCCAGAACACCCACATGTGCGGCGCAGCCTCTCTGGCTCTGTACGCGTACTCGATAGCGATCTGCGACTTTCTATAAACAGCATAAGCACAAGTCCGCCACCTCTTGTGTTCGGCAAAACGTACCCTACACCTCCTAGACCAACAAGCGCTACCCGGTTGTGACCCCGCAAAGCTGAGCCTCTGTGAATCCCCTCAATCCTTGCAAGGACATCCTCTCGGCCCACAAATGCATCGTCTCTTGGAAACGGTACCATAGTTGATGGCTTGGGCCTGTTCTGCGCTCGCGCTAAGAGTCAGGGTCGTTAGCTAACAAGTAGGATAGTAGGCATACGAACGCGGCTCCTGGCTTGGCAGAAGACAGATTGAAAGTGTTATAGCTACGTACTAAAGCGGTCTGCCACCACTCCCGGGCCATCCCTCGCAAACTGCCTAAGTTTGTCCCGCGCGCTGCTGTATCCTCGAGCGTTCTTGTTGTCGAACTTAACGATCATTGAGTGGTCGGCGTCTAGAGGGATCTTCTCTTCCGTCGAGTCGGGAAGCTGGAGAAGCGCCGAGTCGCTGTCTACTGCTGTGATGAAGTCGCCAGTCCGCTTCCATCGCTTGCTCTCGCTGTCCTGCCACAAATATGTCAGCGATGTTCTTGCGCCTTGCTTGTGCCGCAACATCGTACAAACTGTAGCTGCCGAGTCTGCTCCCTCTCGTAGAAGCTCACCACCTTGCGGTCGCGGACGAGGTTCCTGAAGTCGTCCAGTTGCGATGCGAGCAGGTCGGACTTTTTCTTGATCTGCTCCAGCAGCTCTTTCCGCGGATGACTATCGTCTCCTGCCAGCATCTTCTGTATGTCGTCCACGACAAGTCCCCTGTGCGGGATCCCGAACAGAAGCATGCCGTACGTTGCTCTGTGCAGTGCTGCTATTGTCGGGTGGTCGTCCTCCGTCGTCTGTACCGCCTTGACAAGGCACTGCGCAGCTGCTTAGCCGTGTGCACGAAGTTTCCTGAGTGTGCGACCTACATGGGCGAGTATGATGCCACCAAAGCTGTGCGCGACGAAGAAGAGCGGCCGCCGTTGTAGCTAGCGCGTTGCATCTGTTAGCCTTGCACTCACGCACTCACACAAACTCACAATAACAACGACAGCCCGTATCCCTACTCACCTCCTCTGTGCTCCGGACCTTCTTAAGCTCCTCCAGCAGGCCCCGCCCGTAGTCCATGATGGTGTCCACCCCGTGGCTCGACAGCTTCGAGTTGTAGCCGTAGATCATGGTGCGGCAGCACGGCAGGTCTTTGCACAGGAAGTCGCGCAGCCACATGCGCCCGAGGCTGCCTTTACCGCGCCATGAGCCGTACGCGTGGCCGTCGAGACCGGTGATGGCGACCACACTGCGCGCACAGAGTCAGCAGCTGGACAGCAACAACAAACAGCAACGACAAGCAGCAACGACAAACAGCAACGACAAACAGCAACGACAAACAGCAAGAGCGGGCTGTCTAGAAGAGAACGAAACGACATAGTGCGTACTCTGCAACAACTGGTGCGTCAGACGTGGGCGTATACAGCTGGGTGAAGCCGAAGAAGTGCTGGTCGAAGTTGATGTCCGTGTCGCCCATCTCCATCTGCGACTCCCCCAGCGGATTGGCTGTCAGCTCTGACAGGAACGCAGGCAGCCCGCCACGGCACTCCACCAGCGCCACCTTCTCCTCATCATTGTAGCAGGAGGGCACGACAGCCACTCTGGCGTCTATCTTTGACTTCTCTTCGTCTGTTAAGTTGTCGCTAATGGCCGCCTGCAGCGATGCCGTCAGCTCCTCGTCAGGCTGCGAGGCTGCAAGGCCCGTGACGCGGAGAACGGGGCCCTTCTTCGCGGCGGCCATGTTGGTTCAGAGGTGCGTCGCTGATTGCAGTGTCTGGCAGCGTCTGCAACCCGAAGTCTGCGAGTGGTCGGCGGAGGGCTGCTGGGCGGAGGGTTGGTGGCATCGTGAACAGGTGGTGAGCGGCCATCGGGCTGTGCTGCGTAGGTTGTGCCGCCTGGGGCTGACGCAGGCAAGATGCTGCAGGCAGGGCGCGTGCAGGACGTGTATGGCAAGGCTGCATGAGCGCGTGCCAATCAGCTTTATCAGTAGAGGGCGACCCTGTGCTGTGGAGTGACGTAGCGCATCCCCACGGCGAGCGTGGGGCCTCCTTCCCGTGTGCAACCGCGGATGAATATGCATTGCGCATCGAGTGACACCAACTCCTCGCAAACTCAAAAGCCGAGGTGGGCAAAACCATGCTGAGACTCCAAATCTTGGGATAAGAAACTCGACTTCTGCAGCTTCAATCACGTCAAATTTTCACCGTTTTCGATTTTCCATAACTCAGGCTTCCTAGGGTTGCGGCACAGACACCAGGAAAGCCTTGAACTGCTCGAGCGCAATCGTCTTGGTGCAGATCTGGCGTTGCAGCGCAGCACATCCAGCGAATGCTTGTACTTCTGATGTCAGTCGAATAAGGCCGGTCACTTGCTCTGCCGCCAACCTGCATGTGGCACAACCAGCCTCATGGCACGGTTGCATCAAGACAGTGAAGAGTGATTCTGTCAGTCTCACTTCACGAACGTAATGCGCACGGTAATGTCCCCTGTCCATTCTATCCCTTCCCTAATCACTTAGTCTAGGCTCAGCTTTGGCGTGATTACATGTGATACTCGAGTACGAAGTCCTGGAGTTTACTCGGGCTGGTGCTCTCGGGGACCTCGTGCTCAAACTTGTGTCATGGCTTCTTTATTTGGATGGTCATTGTTTCCGAGCTATAGACAGTTATATTCCTTCACTGGTTGACCTGAACATTTACTTGACGCCACTTCGCACATCTACGACAAAGGCAGCAAAGCCAGCAGTAAAGCAATGGAACGATGACTACCAGACCGACCGCCCCTACGATTATTGCGATGGTTCCACCCGAGCTTGCCGGATCCACAGACGATGCACTGCTCTTGATAAGGTCGTGCATATATTTTCCAGATTCCGCAAGGATACTGGACAACGTTTCAAGAGTTAACAGCACACTCCCTTGTGACGGGTCGGCAGAAGTGAGCGACGGGAGCGGATAAGCTTGGGAGATTCAGCGACGTGTTTGCAGTCTATTCATCAGGAGCCACCAACCTCCGTTCAACTCTTTGATCCATTGTGTCAAATGATGGCCTGTTCGAACTTGAGGATCTCAGTGTGGGTGTCCAAATCGGCATGTCGTCGATCTGACCATGTTGTATATAGTGGAAAGGTTGCTCCTTTGCGTGCTGTTAGCGGTCATGGGATGTCAAAAACGGATCATGACAATGAAGAGTGGCATTTGGATTTTTACCAGCCAGAGTAATTTTAATTCGGTCCTTGGAAGCAGAATCCCACATTTCATACCATTTGCAAGTATTTATTGCAGTTATTGTCATCGTCTCACTTCCTCACTGAACCACATGCTACGCTATCCTCTCACACACCTGGACCGAGGGCCAAGAAGTCACGTACAATGAGCTGGTGGCCGGTACAGGGACTCGTATGTTCCCTCGCATGCAGCGCGCCCTCATGCTCGCATACATACAGAAGTAGCAGACAAGCTGGCTTGTGGCATCATACCCGGATTCCAGTCTTTGGGTCTCCCAGACGTCCACATTGTACCTAGCATTAGCACCACGGAACCAGGCCATGATGACAGTGTCACCCATTCGAGCAAGAGGCTCAGCGCCGCGAGCCTCGCAATGGTCCGCGGCTCACTCGAGTCAATTGGTGTCGCTGAGGAAATAATCGAAACCATCACGAGCCGAGATGGACATTTCCAACTCATGTGCAATCTCCGCAACATGTTCTGTCCGTTCTTGCCATTGCGTGGATCGAGCATCACCTCCGTGTCCAACGCCCTGTGCGCCGATGTTGAATCTTTTGCAACTCACTGGGCCAGGATCGTACTGCGCCGTCGCCTAGAGCAATACATTTACAAAAACCCTGCGATCCATCCGAGAGACCTACTTGGCCATCTGGTGACTTACGCTGCAAGGTGGCCGCATTTCTTCTACGAAAGCCTCCACTTTCAGATGGGTCAGCAATCGCGTTGTCCGGCTGATCTTATCGAGTTTGCCCATGATCTACTTCCTCGACATTCAGAAGCGCCACGGCATCGTGTACAAAGACCTCGTCCTGGCCCATCTGCACTTGGGCGTGGCTGCTTGGAAGAGAAGAAAAGAGGTCCTCGGCAAAGGTATGTATCGAGATGACCCAATCTTTCTGCATGGGCCGCCAGCCAGTGATCATGTTGATGTGTTCCACAGCTACGCGGATCCAGAACAGCTGGATCTAGTTGTGAATTTGATGGGGCAGAAAGGGATCAGAGACAGTGACGTGATAGTCGAAGCTTGGTGGACGCTCGTTATACGTGCGATCTTTCAATCCTGTACTTTGCAATTTTTGCCGTACGCAGAGTTTCCGCCTGTAGCATCTGCATTTCACGGCAGTAGAACGCCGGTGTACATCACATGAAAGAGCGAACGACTGCACAATGTAGATGCACTGCAAGTCATACACATGATCATTTGCTTTGACGCACCCTTGCAGAGTGGTGCTGATTGCAGGAGTGTCGGATGCAAGTGGTGTGCCGCAATGGTGAAATATCAAAATGCTCACCGATCGGTCGCCTGGGACAGGCATCACGAAATTGATCGAGGACACAGACTTTGATTGGCTGACAGTAGGTAGGGCTGATCAGTACCAGCGGTCTGTCACCCAAGGTTTCGGCACCATTCTGAAACTATGGCGTCGTGGAGTACATCTGCTGGAACGCTGTCTTCAGGAAAATCCCCGAGCTTGTTTGATGTGCAAACCGTCTCGAAGTGATTCACATCTTCCCGAACTCTCATGTCGGCGCATGCTGACAATTTGTACATGCGCATGAAAGGGTTGTTATGTAGACTGTAGGCAATACGCACGACAGCCTGGCTTGCAGCTACTGTACTGATGCCCAAGTTAGCGAATTGGAGAGCAGAAGGTCGCTTGCTTGATCTGGTATGAAGATTGCAGTCTTGGCGTCGACTCCAGGCCAGGCTTTCATAAGAGTTTAACGGCTGTGGGTCCAGTGAAACGGGTAGACTACGCTGCAGTTACCTAATGTGGTTGCTTTCAACTTCCACCGCTCTTTTCAACCCGATAGCGAGGATTGACAGAGTGGACCATGACCGGAAGAATGCCGACATGGAATCAATCATGTGGACTCCCCGTTCTCAGCCCGAGTCTGCATTGGCTTGCCGGATCATCCTCGCCGCAAGGGATCGTGTGCATCGGCACTTGAATTGAAAGCAAGGGATATATCCTTGTTCGTAGGAACAATCCAAGAGGACGGTGAGCAGAAGCTAAAGCTCGTTTGCCAGGACGCAAATCTCGTGTTGGATGGACATTGGTCGCGGAAAGGCCATGCAGCCGCACGTGTTAGCCGCCTTGCATATGCAGCGCTGTGGTGTGGTGCTGGGTCGTGAACTTCGCGATAAGCTGACGACAGAGGTTGTACATGGTGAGTACATTGTCGCAGATACATTACAGTACCATTGTTGAGGAAGTCGTTTTCCAGCGTTGTGGGAAGTTCGGTTCGGCTGTGCCCGCCTCTTTGGGTTCTTCCTCCTGCAACAACACGAGACGCGATTCACCAATTTTCGTAAAGTATAGCACAGCAATTTCGATCAGCTCTGACCACCCTCGCATTCGAGATCTTCGGAGCGCGTACAATGACATGCGCGGAGACCAATCAGATGGAGCTTTCACCGCTTCAATGAAAATGACTACCGTCCGGTCAGGGGGAGGCCAACTGACAACTTACCGCAGGTTACTTCCGCACCTTGAATCGCATCACTCGAAAGCATCACGCAAGACAGGCCGTCGTCTCGTCCGACATGCGTCATAGCCATTGAGGTCCATGCTAGGGCCCGCAGCAACTTCCTGACTTCCCGTCATCCTGAGGCATAAGTTTGGTGATGTAAGATGAAAGTGACGCGTTTCAGTCACCAGCTCAAGAGGCCAACGTACGAACTCAACACCATGAACTCTATCCTATTCTGATTACGGTCATACCGCGCTCATGGTTGCAATGACATTGCTTGTTGCAGAGACAGGGATGCAAGGTTAACGGCCCGGCGTTTTGGATCGCCAAAACCGCCTTGTGGTGGCCACCCCTTGGCTCAAGCGCCTCTACTTCTGACAGGACGATTACCTCCGCTAATGAAAGTACCACGAGCACCACGTAGCCTTCACGATCTTCCGCTATCCCCAAGAAGCTACTCGGGCCAGCTGGCTGTACTTCCGGCCCCTGCCTGTTCGAACATTAGCTGCCTCTCCCACTCACCCTTTCGACAGCACGCCTCGCACGTGCCATTATGCTATTGAATCTGCAGTTCTGACTGTGAAGGTAGGTTTGCAATCCATCTTGTAATACTACTGGACCCTATGTGGAGTTCCGAAAGCGGTGGAGCACTTCTCCACCTTGGTCACTCCAAAGGCTAAAGATGCTCGCACTCCCTCGCATCGTTCACAGATCCATATCTCTTCCGTTTCAAGTAACGAGTCCCCGTCGTTTGGGTCTGTGATCCGACGCCGTTGCCGTCAATCTTCTTAGTCTGTGTCCACTTTGGACCCACTAACGTCTATTTCATCCTTCTATTCTCCTTCGACGCCTCTCCGGTCGACGTTGTCTTCACGTCCTCCTCCTACCATACCGCATGTTCTAGGACTGAACATTGACCATGGGTAGCAACACAGACTCCGAGACTGCCAAATCGGCCAGGCACTCCGTACACGGCACATCGACCCAGCCAACCATCTCCCAGGACAAGAAGTCAACACCACACACAGGAAACAATCGAAACATTATGGCAACGATCGTGGACGATGACGATCGTCTCCTCGTGCGAATTGGATACACTCCAGTACGGCTTCTAGTAACTCACGCTCAATTAGAAGCTAACACTGAACAGGTTCTGGAAAGGCATTTCTCACGATGGTCCACCGTTTCATATGCAATCTCAATTCTCGGAGTGTTAGGATCAGTGCCAGCAACATTTGGTGTCCCAATGACCTCTGGTGGACCAGCAACATGTGTTTGGGCATGGTTCATTGGTAGTATTATGGCATACTGTATAGCCAGTTCAGGTATGTTCCATCATCTTGCTCATCGGTTAGTCGACTGACACATGTTTAGTGGCCGAACTTGTATCAGCATATCCAACAGCCGGCGGAATGTACTATGTAACGAAACACGTTGTGCCTCCAGAGCACGTCGCAGCGTGGGCTTGGATCATTGGGTGGTGTAACTTCCTCGGCCAAGCAGCGGGTGTTGCGAGTCTGGCGTACACGATCTCTCAGATGATCTTGGCTACGGCCGTTATGCATACTTTCGATGGAGGCGAGGCTACTTTCACACCGTATGAAGTCAACGTCATATGAAGACAGCACACGCTAACATACAAGTCAGAAACGCTCAACAGACCATCCTTCTTGCAATCTTCGTTTTGTGTCTGTTTGGCACCATTTGCTCTTTCCCTACCAATTGGCTACACCGCATCATTCTATGGTTTGCTCCTATCAACAGTGAGTACTCTAGTCTTGTAGCGATACACCAGCTGACAATATATACAGTTATCGCATCGATCTGCATCTGCATTGCACTGCTCATTCTTACGCCTAATAAGCAAAGCGCATCGTGGGTATTCACAACATTCACGGACGGCTCTGGTTGGGGCAGCAAAGGATTCTCATTTTTGCTTGGGTATGTCAATCTCGCAATATCTGACCAAATCCATCTAACAACACTAGTTTCCTATCAGTCGCATGGACAATGACTGACTACGATGGCACCACACAGTAAGCCCTACCCCAGCCATGCCTTGCATGAACAGCTCGCCTAACCACTTCGCACAGCATGTCAGAAGAGACGCACGATGCCGCCATCCGTGGCCCAGTGGCCATTCGCGCAGCCATCCTAGTCTCAGGTGTCACTGGCTGGATGCTCACTGTCACGTTCTGCTTCTGCATGTCAGACTACGAGGGCATTATGACAACGCCGACTGGTCTACCTGCTGCACAGATCTTCTTCAATGCCGGTGGCAAGACTGGAGGCACGATTATGTGGTTCTTCGTTATGCTGGTGCAGTTCTTCACTGGTTGCAGTGCTATGTTAGCGAATGCTAGGATGGCGTGGGCGTTCTCGCGAGATGCTGCGTTCCCGTTTTCTGGGCAAGTCTCCTCACCTTACCTACATCTAGCCTCCAACTTTAAACCTATCAATGTAAAGGGCGTACGCTGACTCATCCTAGCTTCTGGAGCAAGGTAAACACCTACACCCACACGCCCGTCAACGCCGTCTGGCTCGTCGTCGCCTTCTGCAGCTGTCTCGACCTCATCGGCATCGGCTCTACCGTCACGATCACGGCAATCTTCAACATCACCGCGCCGGCTCTGGACATCTCCTACATTGCCGTCATCATCGCGCATCGCTGGTATGAAGACCGTGTCGTCTTCCACGCCGGCCCGTACACCATGGGCCTCTGGAGCAAGCCCGTCAATGCTGTAGCCGTGACATGGGTCATTTTCATCAGCGTGGTGCTGTTCTTCCCGACTGTGAACCCGGTGACGGCTACGAACATGAATTATGCGATCTGTGTGGCGGCGTTCATCGGACTGTTTAGTACAGTGTGGTGGTATGCCGGTGCGAGGAAGAGTTACACTGGACCACGCACCAGCGATACCATCGGCGAACTACCACCCGAGGATATTGAGGACGTGTTCAGCGACTATGATGACAGGTACACGCCTTGATAATGAGGTCTTGCTCAGGAACACGGCGCGGATTGCGCGGTGACGACATTACGACATTACGCTTGCATTTCTTGAAGAACGAGCTAGGGCATACACGGAACACTCACTGTATTGCGAATTTCGGGCGTTCGAGCGTTCGAGCGTTGTGTTTCTCAAAGTCGATTTATACCCTTCGTCATACGCTGCCTTTCGCTGTTACGGCCAGTTGCATAGATTAGATACCCCAGTACATGCTCTGACTTCTTACATAGCTACCTTTTCAAATTCTGCGGTTGGAGGTGTGGTGGTCCCTTGATTCAGACCTGCTATCGGAGTGGAAGTCCACGTTCATGCTGCTCTTGACCAGTCAATCTTCAAAACCTACTCTTGTGTGCAAGTCCTCAGTGGAGTATGGCGGGCTGTGATAACGTCGTGTCGTCTGCACACCTCAATTGAAAGCTCTTTAGGTAGCTGCCGCAACTCCGCAGTGATCCCAACTTATGACGTGCCGTGGTGTTCTCCTGCTACTTGTATCAAGAGGTGCGCAAATGCGTGATCACTCTCGTGCTGAAGAGCCGAGGCGGACGTGGGGTGTTCAGCTTGAAGTATTTTGTTCGTATTCGATGCAAAATATCTAAAAAGATCTATATGCAATGCAATACCTCGCCAAATGAGCCCATGCATCTATGGGCAGGGTATTCTAAAAACAACATAGCCTGAAGAGATAAAGAAAAGTGTTGATAAAGAATGAAGCGACGTGAGTAAATTTTCCGCCAAATGCTATCCCAAGCCGTCGAAATATCGTTGTGTCGGTAAAAGGGTAAAGGTGTGTAGAAGAATGTGTATGCCGTGATAATTCGTTCGTTGTGTTGTGCCGCCTTCGTTGCACCGTCTGTTGGCGCCATTGCACGGGACCGGGCTCCGCCCAGCAGCAAGAATTTCTTGCTTGTGTCGCGTGCAACCTATCGCTAACCGCTCTCGAAGTCTGTGTCGCCAGAACACATGTCTGACCACGCGCTGGTGTTCGTGCGACGCCAAGGCCGTGGTTCCATTGACCTGTTCTCCCCACAAGCGACTCTCTTCCCCTGGCATCATGCCAGCCCACGTCGTGATCGCACTCATCAGAGTTTGGCGATCACGAGCGGCCGGTGCCAGCGCGGGCTAGCTCCTTTATCCGCACAGCAGGCATGGAGGGCATTTTGCTGAAGCGGCGGGAATTGCTTGTGCCGGCCGACTTTGTCGAGGAAGAGGGCGACGAGCTGTAGACATACTCGCCGTCGACATACTGTGCTTCGCTGATGAAGGTTGAGCGCTTCTCGCGGCGTGTGTAGCGCTGCTCTAAGCGGTAGAGCTCAAGGCCTGCGGTCGTTGTTAGATCCTGAGGCCCCTACCGTGTGTGGAGTCGTGGAGTAGGGGCTGACGTACGAGCCTGCAGTTTCTCGATAAGACCCATTATGACTGTTGATGTGTGCCGTGTGTTCCGCCGAGAAGGATGTTGTTGCAGACAAGAGTCTCCAGAAAGCGGGCGATGTCTTGGTTATGGCGGTTCTGGGTGGTTGGAGGGTGCTGGCAGGGAGTTGGCTGTCACAGTGACGCAGGCGATGTATCGTATCAGTTGGCTATGAGCGGGGATTGCAGGACTGTGGAGAGCGATTGGCGGAGCGGCTTCAATGTGTGCAATTGTGAACGAGAGAACGGCAAAAAACGAGGGACAATGCAGGAGGCGGGGAGCAACGAGTGATAGCAGAGAGCAGACGGGGAGCTGCAGCAACAGGCAAGGGTGTGAGAGCCTGCCGAAGGTTGGCGGAACGACACGCTTGGGCGTCTCTGCCGAAGTCTAGACCCCAAACAAGCAGTCGTGCCGGCACTGCGGGAACGAGCGACTGCCATTGCCTTGAGCCGCGACTGCATCTCGAACTGCAAGATGCAGGGGGCCTTCCCTGTTGATACGTACACGGCAAGCAGCATGCACTTTCGCCATCTCATCACGCAAGCACTGCGCCGCTCCTCTCTCTCTTCCTTCGTTTGCGCCGACGGGACACTCAGACGCCATCCGTCATCCGAGTCAGTGCACCGCGTGGAGACAGGGGCAAGGGAAGGGCACTCCTTCGCCCCAAACGTGTGCCGCGCCCAATTTTGGGAATATCGGCGCAGCTCAGACCCAGACCGCCTTGGACATCGAAGAACACGCCATGACATCAGAGGAATACAGAGAGAACATCTTAGCTTGGAGGTAGGCAAACGACTGGAGAGGTATGCAGCCCTATGGCCGCTATCATTGGGAGGCATTTGTTCAGCTATCTAATGTTCTGTGACGTCTCGAGTGCGAAACCGCCCTGGTTTATTTCCTGGTGCTCCATTTGCTCCAGTCCACGCCAAAATGCTCGATATCGTTTTTTCTAGGCCATGGTCTCATCGAAAGCAAGCACCCTTATATCCGGTTCTCTGGGATGTATCCCTCCACCACAGCAACTGCGCCCACGTTACCTGCATCAGCGAAGCCATTGAGCAGCGAGATGACCGAAATAACATCTGACGGCTCGACCAAGTGCCAGCTCGCCAATGTTTGCTTGGAGCTTGCGCCAACGGTTACGGAGAAGACGTGGTCTGTTGGCAGCTTGGACTGGCGCAGCGATCGGAACATGTCTGTCGTTGTTAGCTATTGACCTTGCTCTTCATGAGTTGCGATTGCTTACCCTCGTCTGTGAAATCATCACCCAGGCAGAGGACGAACTCTGGTGCCGCATCGCCATACTCAAGAACAAGCCTCTTTGCAATTTCGCCCTTGTTGACAAATCTTGGGCGGACTTCGAGGTTGGCTTTGCCTGTCATCACCTCGACGTCGTACTTCTTAGCTACGGTCCTTTCGAGGTGCGTCTGGCACTCGCGCGCCTGGAATGCACCGAACTCGGGGTCAGCCTTTCGGTAGTGCCAGGTGAGTGCGATCTTCTTTTGCTCGATGAATGATCCTGTTTCAGGTTAGTATGTGGATGACGGTCGATGGCCACAAGGCAACTTACCCTGTGTCTTGTCGGTGTAGTGCTGGAACACATCGATGACTTCTTGCTGCCAGCTCATGTCCTCCTTCTCGGTCAGGTTCTCCCACTCATCGCTCAGAGGTTGCCTCATGAAGCTTCCGTGCTCAGCGCTGAGGCCGAGCTCAGGAATGTGGCCCATCCACTCGTCCAAGAATGCCTGATCTCTGCCGCTGATGATCCAGACAGCATTGGCCTTGTCTGCGGCCAAAGTCTTCAGGGTGCGAATCACTCGGTCGGAAGGAATAGCTGCCGCCGGATCTTTAACGATAGGCGTGAGTGTACCGTCATAATCAAACATGAAGAGACGCTTCTTGGCTTGTCTGTACTGAGAGAGAATCTTCGCGCGATCCAGAACTGGCGTGGCAAACGACTGGTCGAATGAGGACAAGTTGGTCAGAAGCCTCTTGAGGTAGTTGTTTGTCCATGACTGGACGTTGTTGCTAACGACGTGGCTGTACAGCTCCTGGTGTTGGTCGTCACGTTCCTTGCTAGACATTTTGAGCGCATCGTTGATGGCGTCTGCCACACCGCCTAGGTCCCAGGGGTTGATATGAATAGCTCCGCTGAGGGATCCAGCCGTACCCGAGAACTCGGAAAGGATCAAGGGGCCGTGGTTCTCCTTCTGGCAAACAACGTATTCCATGCTCGTTGTGTTCATACCATCACGGACACTGGTAATCAGGCCAACGTCTGCGATGCGGAGCAAAGCGAAGTACTCTTCCGATGACAGATACTGTGGGAAGTGGCGAACCGGCGTAAAGCTGAGAGATCCGTAGGTACCGTTGATCTTAGCAGCAAGATCCGAGATCTTGTTGACCATCTTCTCTTGTGTGTTGTCACCTCTTTCAGAAACCACAGCGCTAGGGCTAGTTACCTGAATGAGGACTACCTTCTCTTGCCATTCGGGGTACTTCTCGAGGAACATCTCGAATGCCTGCAGCTTCTGTACAACACCACGAACGGCATCGAGCCTATCACGGCCAACAATCAACTTCTTGCCTGCGTACATCTCGCGAATAAGCTTAATTCTTTCTTCGACTTCGGGAGCTTCGAAGGCCTGTCGTGTTGTCGAAATGGAGTTGATGCCAATTGGGAAAACGTCGACTGCTACATGTGCTCCGTACGCGTCTACACCAGCCGAAGACGAGTCGAAGCCGAGAACCCTAGTGCAGCACGACGAGAAGTGGCGTGAGTAACTGAATGACTGGAAGCCAATCATGTTTGCGCCCAGAACACCCTCCAAGATTTCCTTGCGCCTGCTCAAACATCTGTAGAACTCGCTACTGGGAAATGGGACGTGAAGGAAGAAGCCGATGTAGATGTTTGGTAGGCGCTGGCGCAGCAGGCTGGGAAGAAGCATCAACTGGTAGTCGTGAACCATGATGATATCGCCGGGGCTGTAAATCTCGAGGATTCTGTCCGCAAAAAGCTTATTCATGCGGTAGTAGTCTGCCCATGACTTGCGCGCGGCACGTCCATCTGCTGGCTCGTTCTGCTTGTAGTGAAGAATTGTGTAGAGCTCATGCTCTGCGTATGTGCGCCAACGGCTCTGGTCTTTCAGGACATACTCGTCCTTTCCATCGTCAACCTCATCCACCAGCCAGACGGGAACGATCTTGCCGCCGTGACGTTCGAGCTGCTTCTCCAAACGCTCACGATCCTCGCGCCCAACACGTATGCCCGATGGCTGCTGTTGTTGCGGTGCTGGCTTCTTGGGGTCAACTGGTATAGGTGCAGCAGCCTTGTTGAGCGTAGGTTGAACAGGTGCCTCGACGGTAGCCTTTGCGTTTGAAATCTCGCCTGTCCAGCCAACGAGGGTGTGATTCCAGGGCGAAGATGAGGAAGCAAGGTATGAGAAAGAGTCGAAGAGAGCAGATGTGCCATGACGAGAGTTCATCTCCCAGTCGTTGCCCTTCGAATAGCCTAGGTTGTAGGGCACAGCGAAAGTCGCGCTGATCAACCTGCCGCTGAGATTAAGTCCGGGGTGCGCAGCTCGCGGGTCGACATCAGCCAAATCGGGCTTCTTCGTGGACTCAGATGAGATACTGAGCCGCTTCAGCAGTTCCTCGCCCGTGGGCGCACCAGCCGCCTGCTCGGTAGAAGAGCTTGCGCGGTCATTTCCACTTTGCTTCGGGAAGTACGAGCCTTTGTCGCCCCAAGCTGGTCCCGGTGTCGCTGTCTCTGGGTCGAAAGGTAGGCTGTTGTTCTTCTCCCTCGCGGGCTCCTTCTCCTCGTCCAAACCAAATCCAGGGGTGACGGGCACATTCGTGATGGAAGGGTGGAGGGCAGGGTGCTCGCTCTGTCGAGGCTCGAAGGGCTCGCGGTCCTCGTTATTGGGTCGTGTGGTTGGTGCCATGGCGCACACGTAGCTACCCGGATGTCGCGCTGCACGGCGTCAGAAAGTGATAGGCTGGAGGTAGTGCGGGTTGTAGGAATAATAAAGGTGATAGGCGGGCAGCGCGGCACACGTCGCTACAGTATGTTCGAAATGCGCCCACAATGATAATACCAAGTACTCACCTGCTAGCCTAGTGCGATCGTGGGGTTGTTGTTGAGGAAGGAGCGTTTGCAGATAGCACCTGCCGAAAGTCGTGCACTGGCTTTCTTCCACGATACGGATCAGGAGGCGGTATGAATATTTCAGGCGAGAGAGAGACCACAAGAGACTGATCCAGAGACACTACTACAGGCGGCAGTGAGTGAAATAAGAACTAAGGACACTGGGCAGCAAGAAAAGATGCGATTTGGTGGGCTGGTTCAACATCCCACTTTCTTCAGTACGTCACGCCTATGGCCCGTGCCTGATTCGCATATCGAGATCGAAGCAGCAAGGAAAACGACCCCACCATTGCTTTCCGCTGTTACTGGCACGTTCTGCGTTCTCTGCTCAGTCACCGCTTCGTGAAGTTTGTTGAGTTGGTTGTCAATATGATGTAACTCCAATTGGGGCAGCCCACATTGCATGCAGCTGCGCTGGGCTGTTCGAGCAACGGGCGGCTATTAGCAAGCGCATGACAACGGCCTAAAAGTTCTTGGCCTGCATGTCACTAATTGAACATTTGCATGTTTGCCCAAATGAATCCAATACGGCTTTGAGAAGAGTGTTTCGAAGCAATGAATGTGCAGGAAGTCCGCGGGGGTGCTTGGTCCCGCAGAACCGTTCGAAGCTCGAAGAAGCTAGTTGCTTGGCGTGTCAGTCACGAAACCTTGGAATCAGACCAGCAAGCGCGACTGTGCAGCATCAACAGAGGTCTTGCCGCGGCTTGCCATCACTGAGGACCTCCCATGCACTCAATCCGCTCACGGCCGATATGTCGCGCCCATAACACCTTCTCGCCCTCGATCGCCCTGTGGCAGCACTTCGTTGCACCGAATCAACACTTTCCGCAGCGACAACTCAAGTCTTCGTTCACGACTGAGGTTACGCAAAGCCGCGACGACGAAAACGTCAATTCGAATGGAGAGGACCTAGCTGCACAGCTCAAGGCGGCATCAGAACGAACAGCAGTGTTCAAAAAAGTGAGGACCGAAAAGGGCAACTACTCGCTGAACTGGAAGTTGTACCCAAAATATCGAGACAATGGCGAGCAGAAAGAAAGGACATCTCTTGGAAAACCTCGGGGAAGACGACAACAAGATGCTGAGAGACTGCTGATCAAGGCCTACAACGCGTACGATGCGGCGCAAGACTACGAAGGTGTGGTGGTGCAACCAATTCAGACCGGCGTACCTGTGAGGGAAAGCAACTTCCCCTGGGTCCCCAGAAACCGGGAAAGCATAAAGTCAGCCGAAGAGAGGTAAATTGCATTGCTTAAAATGGAGAAACATGCACTTGCTAACGTTACATGCGTAGGTTAGAACTCGAGATACAAGCCTTCCACAAATATATTCGACCGAACCACGCCGAGAGTATCGCCCGAAAGCACGTTATCGAGCAGGTGCGCCAGCATGTTCGAGAGATCCTCCCTGGCTATGTTCTTGAAGTGTTCGGTTCAGAACGTACTGGCATTGCCTTCGCCGGATCGGACATCGATCTGCGACTCGTCCCCCAGAATGTCATGTCAGATACCGCTCGATCTAAACTGCCACCTAGTCCCGAGGAGAGATCCAGACGAAGGGGAGACCTGAGGAGGCTACACCAAATCCTCATGATGAAACACAAAACAGACTACTTGCTCCCCAAGATACGGTGGGCGCGCTACCCTTTGATCTCGCTGCAGGACCGGGCATCTGGTTTGGACATACAAGTAGTGCTTTCGAATGACACGTCTGTCAGTCGGGAGTTCATGCAGCGCTACATGGAAGAGTACACTTACCTCCCTCAGCTGTATTCAGTCATCAAGGCCATCTTGGACGTTCGCGGACTCTCAGACGTCTTCCGAGGAGGCATCGGCTCCTACTCCCTCTTCATGATGATCGTCGCCAGCCTCAAACACAGGCCGCATCCACGCAACGACGCATCAGGCGCTCTGCTGTACTTCCTACGCTTCTGGGGCACCTTCAAAGCAGAGGAGCACGGTATCTCCGTCGAGCCAGCAGAGCTATTCGCAAAATCAGAGCAGGTCGTCATGCACGACAAAGTCATGGAGCACATTGAGGTAATCGCACCAATCATAAAACTTACCGGACATACGCTAACAATCTCCCCAGGAAGGCAAAACCGCTCCCCTTCCCCCGTGGATGCTCACCCTCCGCGACCCGGCCGACGAAACCAATGATCTCGGACGCAAAGCCATCGCCTGGAAGCACGTGCAGAAGACTTACAGAAACCTTGCCGAGCGGTTGCGAATAGATATGGCACAGAATACTAGGCCCAGCTTGCTGGCCTGGTATGTCGGGCCCATCTACACACTGCAGCAGGCGCACCGCAAGAAGCTCACTGAGTACGGGCGCTCTTTGGCGACAGCAGGCAGGAAGTACCCTCCGGTCTTTTATACTTCCGCGCAGTTGGTGAAGACAAAGGCCTTGGAGGCAGATGCTCGAGCGATCGACCGAAAAACTCCGGATCTCAATGAGCTCGCATCCATTGCTCGGGAGGTTAGAGACGGCAAGACAGAGGCGGTGGACGAAGACGCTGGAACGATGGCTACTCCGGAGTCTCCAGATTTCGATGAGCTGGCCTCCATCGCTCAGGCGATCAGAGAGGGCGAGGCTGCAAACAAACAGTCGGCTCGCGAGGCTGAAGCTTCGGACGTGGCAAAAGAGGATCAAGTGAATCCTTGGATGAAGGACATCGTTGGAGAGTATAGTCACAAGGAGACTGGCGAGGCCTTTTCCAACCTCCTGGGTCTGGACAAGAAGCGGGACGCAAACAAGCGGGAAGAATAGATACCCAATTTCACCACATCACGCCTTCGCAACATACTGCAATCACGTTAAGTCGTAGGGAGAAGCTTTTTCAGCCAGAAGTGATGATAGCAAGCACTATGAATCCTGTTCAGCGTGCAAGCCGAATCGCAAAGGTTAACTCCATCGGTCCGCCATGCCGTGAGAAGTCTGATCTTGATATCCTCCACCGTACGTCCGTCAAATGCCATCATGAACCGTAAAGAAACCACCCACGCACATCTGAGCTGATCCCTAGATGGCGTACTTGCGAGTCCACTCCCGGGCTGTCGATTCATACCTGGATCGGTCGGTCTTGTAGACGTGTGCAATCTCGGGGACGAGCGGGTCATCGGGATTGGGGTCTGTCAGCATCGAGCAGATACTCAGCAACACTATTCATGAGTCAGTACTGTGTTTCCTGGAAATCGTCGTTTAACAGGGCATGCGTACCCTTGCTGATGGTGAGCGCTGGGCTCCACTGGTCTCGCAGAATATCCAAGCAGATGCTTCCGTTCGAGTTGATGTTGGGGTGGTAGATGCGGGTGGTGAAGTTGACCTTCGGGGGCTTGAAGGGGTAGTCGGTAGGGAAGTGGATTGCGAGGAAGAATACGCCGCCGGAGTATGGTGAGTCGCTCTGCTCAGTCTGTTAGTTCCGTGATCGCGGTGTGTTTTGTGGGGAGGCGCAGATTGTCGAGCAAGTGCCGGTTTATGTGCAGTTGCGGTTTTGTACGTACAGGGCCCATGATCGTTGCTTGCCAGTGGAACTGTCGTCTCGTCAGTGTGGCTGTTCGTTGTAATGCACCACTGCGGCAGTATCGGCGAAACCGCCTCAGCCGCGGGGATAGTCTTTGCACAAAGAGTGACGTACCAGGTCGTCGCCGATGGGACCAGCACTGCAGGAAGAGGGAGGGTCACTGTGAGTATAGAGTCAGCCAAATGCTCCTGGACTGTAGCGCAAGGCCGCTGCGCCGTCGCCATGCTCGAGCACCCCGCATTCGCAGACTGTCGTGCGAGCAAACGGCGAGGCCCGCCGTCGCAAAGGAGAAGAGGGTGTCCACGTACCGACCGAGGTCAGTGAGCTCCTTGTTGATACGCTTGAGAGCCATGGTGACTTGTTTTGTGTGGTGTTGTGGGTTGTGGGCTGTGTGGTGCGGTGGTGCGGTGTTGCGCAGAGAGTGTGGTTGGGTTCTGGGAGAAGTGATGAAGCCTGTCAACGTTAGTGGGGTGGCCTTTCTTTGGGCAAGTGCGGCGTCTCAGCGCGGAAAGACCGCCCAGAGCCGCCGCCGCCACTCCAACGTACCTGCGAGCGGAAGTGAGAAAAGGGGAGTGAAGGAGGTTCGTAGTAGGACAGAAGTCTTAAGACAAGGTATGGCAGAAGCGGAGGAGGCGCAGTTTGTATTTGTTGTTCGTTGAAAGCGCCGCCGCACATGCGAGACAAGCCAGTCACCGCCCAGAGTTGGATTCACCGGGACCTTTTTTGCGCAGCGACGCCCTGAATGGCGACTAATAGAACCCTACAGAACGGCCGTCAAGCTGACATTCACCTTTTTGCCCTTCTACCACATCACTCCAAGAAATCGCCATAGCCTGACCAATATCTTGGTCACTCTCATGACTACCAGCGTTCGCCTCTTAGCGAGATGCATCATGTGGGGACGGCGCATGCAAGCAGTTGTTTTTGAGACCCTTCATGTTGGAACGAACTTGCAGCAACAGCAATTCGTTTGCGCACGATGTTGGCACAATGTGCAGGGCCTTCTCAAAGGGCACAAGGCTGAAAGTTCGATTTTGGCTTCATTGGCTAACAGTTCCTTACGTTTACTGTGTTATATACTTTAGAGTCAACTCTCGTTTGCATCCAAGTCTCTCCTCCTCCTCAGAGTCCATCTCGTCACAACACATCGCACAATTAACAGAACGCTTGGATTCCTGTGATTGCGCGACCGAGAATCAAGGCTGCGTTTGTTGTCAGTCAAGCATGGGCCAATATGCATCAAGGTACTCACAGTGGATGTCGCTCTGGCCTTCGTATGTTTGTGTGACAAACAGGTTCGCCACGTGCCTGCCAATGCCGTACTCGTCAGACACTGCGTTTCCACCGAAAACTTCTTGAAGCCTATTCTGCAGTTAGCCGATGCTTATGTGAACAAAGTGCGCTACTTACGTGCGGGCGTTGACTAGAGCACGGTCACAGTTCTGCCTCTTGATCATCGAGATCATCTCGGGTGCAGCCTTGCCCTCATCCTTTAGCCTTCCGACGTGGTAGGCAGCCAAGATACCGTACGCTGCGTCAGTGGTTGCATCTGCCAGTTTCTTCTGCACGAGCTGGTACTTGGCAATGGGGTTGCCCTTGAACTGTTTCCTATCCAAAGCGTACTCGCGAGTCCTTGCGATAGCGTCTTCCAGAGCACCCATGGTTCCCCAGGCAATACCATATCTTGCGGAGTTCAGGCAGCTGAAAGGTCCCCTCAAGCCTTCAACGTTTGGAAACATGTTCTCCTTCGGGACGGGGACCTCGTCCATCTGGATCATACCGGTGATGGAGGCTCTTAGGCCATTCTTGTTCTTGATTGCTGGTGTCTCGAGAGTACCAGGTGGGCAGTCCTTACGCTCAACGGCAAAGCCACGAATCTTCCCTGTCTCCTGCAGCTTTGCCCATACAACGAAGACGTCGGCAATGGGCGAGTTGGTGATCCATGTCTTGGAACCAGAAAGTGAGTAGTATCCTTCCTTGGAAGGGTGCGGTTTCGCAATAGACTCCATGGACCCTGGATCTGAGCCGTGGTTTGGCTCGGTCAGACCGAAGCATCCGAGGAGTTTGCCCTTTGCCATCTGCGGCAGGAGTCGCTCCTTCAACTCCTCTGTTCCAAACTCCTCAATACCACCCATTGCGAGTGAACTTTGCACTGAGTAGCCCGAGCGGTACCCCGAATCTACTCTTTCGACTGCTCTCGTGATTAGGCCAGCAGCTACACTGCTGACACCCGCACACTCGTAACCTTGAATCGATGCACCCAGCAACCCCAGCTCACCCATCTCCTCAATGATCTTCCTGTCAAAGTCCTCATTACGATATGCATCTGCGGCACTACGTCAGCAATTGCAACCCGTAGAATGAACGCAACATACCAAGCACTCGTGGAAGCATACGCTCCTGGCAGTACGACTCTGCTGTTTCTTGAATGGCCTGCTCCTCTTCTGTGAGCAAGCTGTTGGCATTCAACGGGTCCTTCCAATCGAACGACACAGGCGTGGTCATGTGCCGCCTTCCGATGGTTGCTGAGCGAATGCTCGCGTTCAAAGGCCTTGAGGCATGTCTGCAGAGAGGTCGAAGCATATTGACAGAGTAGATAGATACAGCTCTTAGATTCTGGAGAATCAGAGTGATAGTTCAACTGCTGCGTTCGGATATAAATCCAGGCTCGACGCTGGCCCTCGGACCTCAGATCGGATCAAGAAGGAACCGCGGCTCGTCGGAGCAAACGCCGCTGCGGTGGCAACGATCTGCTCAACCCCAGATTTTGCATGCACAGCAATTGATGATTGCACATGTCAAAAGCTTACGCTCTGGTGAACACTGAAGCAACGAAAATGTTGCATATGTTGGCAAGACGAAGTTGGTCAATCTCATCAACTAACTGCTCAAGCCTTACTAGCATGCTTCTCAGGATATCCTTCATCGTACTGCATCAAAGATGAGATCGCACGATCGTTTCTGGGACACATTTTTCTGGACCTTGAATTCACCTTGAAGATGCTTTTCGCTCACCGTGAAGAGTGGGGAGTACTTTAAGTCGAAAAGGGCAAGAGCCGTGACTGCGCGTAATCCCTGCACGCGTTTTGGACGTGACGTAGTCCGTGCGATCGTTACCTCCTCCACCAGCCTCCAGCTGCTGCTGCCTGTACCCGACCTGCGCTACGCGTAACGAGTCAAAATACACGATTATTGCGCACACAATCAAGTCTGAGATACAGCCAATATGGGTATTAAACACCTCTTCCAGCTCATTCAAGAGCATGCGCCTGGTGCCGTCAAGACAGGTGAGATCAAGAACCAATTCGGTCGCAAAGTCGCTATCGTACGTACACCTTACGTGAACTTCCTCAAAACTTGAGCTGACACTCTCAGGATGCGTACGCATAACTCGGATCGTACACTACACGTCCAATCTGACCCTATTCAGGTCCATGAGCATATACAGTTTCCTCATCGCCGTACGATCTGATGGCCAGCAACTCATGAGCGACACTGGCGAAACCACATCGCATCTCATGGGTCTTTTCTACCGCACACTCCGCATGGTCGACAATGGCATCAAGCCCCTCTACGTCTTCGATGGCGCCCCGCCAAAGCTCAAGTCCGGCGAGCTCGCAAAACGATTCCAGCGCAAGACAGAGGCGCAGGCCGGTATGGAGGAAGCAAAGGAGACAGGCACAGCAGAAGATGTAGAGAAGTTCTCGCGACGGACAGTCAGAGTTACGAGGGAGCACAATGCGGAATGTCAGCAGTTGCTCAAGCTTATGGGCATTCCGTTCATCATTGCGCCAACAGAAGCTGAGGCACAATGCGCGGTGCTTGCGAGAGGAGGCAAGGTCTACGCTGCTGCATCAGAAGATATGGACACACTGACCTTTGATTCACCCATCTTGCTGAGGCATCTCACGTTCAGTGAGCAGCGCAAGGAGCCCATTCTTGAGATTCATCTGGACAAGGTGCTCGAGGGTCTAGACATGGAGCGCAAGCAGGTACAAACACCACTCTACTGAGGTGACGGCGATTATACTGACACTTCTCAGTTCATAGATCTCTGCATCTTGCTCGGCTGCGATTACCTCGACCCCATCAAGGGTATCGGCCCCAGCACCGCCCTCAAGATGATCCGCGACCACAAAGACCTCGAAGGTGTCGTCGAGCACATCAAGAAGAACACCAAGCTCACAATCCCCGAGGACTGGCCCTTCGCTGATGCACGCACACTATTCCTCGAACCGGACGTACGACCCGCTGATGCGCCCGAATGCGACTTCAGGTGGGAAGCACCCGATGTCGAGGGACTCGTCAAGTTCCTGGTCGAGGAGAAGCACTTCAACGAAGACAGAGTGCGCAACGGCGCGGCGAAGCTGAACAAGAACATGAAGACTGCACAACAGAGCAGACTAGAGGGTTTCTTCAAGCCGGTTGAGAAGACTGCCGAGGAGAAGGCGAGTCTGAAGCGTAAGGCAGATGAGAAGCTAGAGGCGAAGAAGAAGAAGCAGAAGGAGGATGCAAAGGCGAAGAAGCAGGCTAAGGCCAAGCCTAAAGGTGCTGCTTGAGCTGTGAGTGCTGCTCAATCGACTGGTCATGATTCTATAGTTACACTTCTCTCACGGATGCGATGATGAGATTGATAGTTGGCGTTCCAAGGGGTTCACGCTCTATGCTGCGCTAGACGACTAGCTGGTGTGTAAAGAAGGCGCACCGCAGCACTGCTTCACAGTATAGAGGAAAAGAAGTCGTCTGCCCGCAGAGATAATATTCTGAAAGATACCATTGACAAATAATCGTTCTACCTTCATGTCCACCACTGTACTGCTACAACACATGTCGAGATTCTACGATGAAGTCAAGAAAAACCGTCTAGTCAAGAAACGTCCTCGGTCCTCCCAACGCCATGCAAACACTTGAACTTCAGGGCTCGGATTTTACCTGAGTATTCAACCTCAAGACCACAGTGGTGCCGTAATATGTCTTGCAAGACAACCCGCGATATTCCATGTGAGAGTCCGAGAGTATCATCTGGGGTCTCACAGCGAATAAAAACAACAACGCAGACTCAAACGAGCCCATTTCCCTCGGCATATCCTATATATTCCAGTTGACTTCCAGCAATTTCTGTTGAGGCTGGTCTGAGGGAACAATAAACTGCTGCAGTTTGCATGAGCTTGTACACGGGTCTTGATCCCATCTCCGCCAATCACCAGTCGTTCAGGATCGTATGGTGCTTACGCATTATCCACATGATTCCTGTGAGCGCACATGGCCTCAATGTAGGGTTGTGGTTATCCACGATGTGTCGTGAGAAGTGGATCGTTTGCCAGTGGACGAAATGTCTGGGTGTTGAAGGGATGCATGGCATGCTTGAGATGAGGATCTGGGTTTGGACCGTAGGGCAGAGTTTGCGAATGGATGAACAGGAAGAGAGATGTTGAATGGTAACTCAGTCTTGTACCTCAAGGGTATGTATGAGTAGCTGAAACGTGTAGAAGTCGTGGGTACCGTCTTGAAAGCAAAGACGAAGACGAAGACCTGCATGTCAAATGCGGAATGTAGAAAAAACAAGACATGACCCACCGGATGGATGGACAGATTTTCACGAATTCACGCTACTGTCATGGTGCTGAACTACTACAGATACCACATGTGTAACCTGGAGATGCAGTCAAGTGACAGCATCTGTATTGGAGGCCGTCCGGTTATGATCACGGACAGACATGACAGTAGCACATTTCGGACATAGTCCATGGCAGGTAGTACCTTGATGATTGTTGGCAGAAGAGTATGATCACTTCGAAGATCATACCTGGCTCCACATGCAAACCACGAGAACGTGCGAAGATCATGACCCTCACATTCGACCTACTACGATGTCGATGTTGCGCCTTCAAAGTTAGAAGTTCATGGTACCTCAGGTCTACTCAAAGTTCGGAAGTGTTCGGTTAGCTGCGCATACATGCTTCCTACACAACTATCGAAGGGCGATTTCTGGATACTTTGATTGCAGGGAGCAGCCCTATATCAGACCCATTATAGCAATACTGCCATTCTTTCCCAATCTAGCCGGTTTCCACCAAGCTTTAAACTACTTGACACCGGCGCACACACAGATTGACCCATGGTGAGTGGATTGACCCATCCAGGGTTCCGAGCCGCAAGTGCTAGCACGAATGCAAATCTCTGGTGTGGTGTGTGTGTGGGGGTTTTGAGTTTTGCACTGTGGCGCAGAAGGGCGAGGCTCCCCGGATCCAATCATCCAGAGTTCAGGTCAGGCGATCGTGCACTTAGCCCTCACCATTCTGAACTGTAAATGACGCAAAAGCGTCGGAACATTATTGACATCGTAACCTTTGTGCGATGTGTCGTTACGAGATGTCGCTCGCAATTTATCGTAGTATCGCCTTCTGCTGGAACAGCGTCAGGGATCGTTGAGGTCTGCAGAAGGTTTCGAAAGCTCAATTCGCGATTCGATGGGCGATTCGGTGGAGGCGTGGTGGGCACGTGGTGGAGTGCAGATGCCGGTGAGGCGTGTAGGCGTGGGATAAGCTTTGGGAGGTAAAGTCCCTATTCTCCTCATAGGCTAAGCATGCACGCTGCATGGAAGCATGCCCGAAGCACACCCTAGCGACACTGTCGCAGTCGCTTGACTTGCTGTACAGGACGAGTGTTCGGCTTCATCCGTGCGCCGTCCTTGTAGCGTTGTTGCGGTTCAGCATGCCGAAGACACTGCCCTGGATCTTTTGCGCAAGCTTGAGTGGCGCAAAGCGTGACTCGGGGAGGCGGCGGCCTGCCTTGATTGACTCGAGGACCCTGCATATGTCAGTAAGCGTTACATTGAACATGCTCAGTACTGGCCGTAAGAGCAGCCAGGACCAGGTCAGCATGAGCTGTAGTAATGCAGAAACTTACCATTCAACTGTGATGTACTTGACAGCTTTCCCACCAGTTCTGGCGACTTCTTTCTGTATCTTGGTTGCAGCCAGGCCACCACCTGCGCCCCCGTTGGCATTGACTGTACCCAATATAACGTGTGTGACAGTCCTTCGACCTAGTGCAATTGAATGTCGAGCGCCGTGTACTGACAGCAGGTACTTGAGTTTGTGATCGGAGACAAGAGGAGCTGTCGAGCCATTCACGTAGAAGCACAGGCCTTCGAATATCTGCTTCTTCTGTGGCTCTGATGGTGACTCGAGAGTGTCATCGTAGGTATCTGTTTCGAGGTCTGCTAGGCAGTCAATAAGCTGATCTGGACAAAGCATAAGGGGATGCAAATGCATGCTTTGAGAACCGTCCTCACTGGCAAGTAGAAGCGATCAGTCTCCTGGGATCGTTATCCCCTCTGGACGTACCTTGTGTTCCTTCCAGGCTGTACTCTGCTTGCGAGGCTTCCTTCTCCAGAATAGACTTCTTGCCAGCCTTGCAGATGCTCCAGACCTCCGCTAAGCTCTGCTGACCGCCTGTCCTGAGACCCTTCGCACCTCTCTCCCAGCCTCCACTCTCCTTTCTGCCGTCTTTGCCAAAGTCCTCGCTGCCAGCTCCAACTGTGTCCGCAACTCTCTTCTTACCAGTCAGACCGCCCTTGTACTGCTCGCCTAGTTTTAGACTACGTGAGACACGCCAGGATGTCGAGCCTGAAAGACGGTCCTCGGCGCGTTGGTGCCCAGTCGAACTGCTGTTCCAAGGGTCAAAGAAGGTCCGTCTTGCTGGGGCGGCAGCGGTGGGCGAGGCATGTGGGTGGGACTTGGTTACGCGTTTCGAGGGGCTCACTTGGGCTGAGGAAGGACGCGCGAAGCGGTCGTCGTCATCGTGCGTCGGTTTCAGGTCGTCTGGCCCTGGGGTGCTCATGGCTACGGTGGTTGAGTGTGCGGCCGAATCTGATGCCGCATTGCTGTTAGTTGATGTTGCATAGTAGCAGGCACACAAATCTACGCATAGATTGTAAGAGTGGAGGAGGTCCGGTAAGGTCTGCGATCTGCATTGCTGGTTGTGATGCTGTCCGCAGATCGCGCAGGGTACGCTGCAGCGTGGCGGGGCACTTGCACGTACCTGCATGTGTTCCCACAGTATTTCGGTCGATTGAATAATTGAATGAATGAATCGATGACCGTGCGTTTTGTGGTGTCGAAGCTGATCTCTGCGCTGCTGCTTTCATTATTGTGGAAAAGGAAAACGAGAGGAAGGTGCGTTGCTACGTGCTGTGCCTGGGGAGTGTGTGGAGAGGAAGCATCATCAACAATGGGCGATCGCGCTTTGCCGTTTATGGTGTGGATCTAAACGCCAACACGACACGTCTCCACGAGGCATGGTTCACTTCTGTAGGGATGAGTATCTTGATTGAAGCCTTTGGTGACTTTGATTACATTTATCTGTACATGCTGGTACATGCAATGCACTATCTTCCGCCGCTCCTTGGTTCTGAAAAAGAACCGTTCAAAAGCAAGTACGCCGGTGACATACAGCCGTATGCTGAAACGCCGCTCATCGCGCCCAGTGAAGTAGAACAGACCCGCCCAGTGGTATGAACATGTGAAAGAGCAAACATGAAAATCAATCCTTTCCGACTTGTGAAAGTCCCCCCTGTGAGAACGCCCGCTAGACAGAAGGAAATGCGGCAGCGACGGCATCGTATAAACCTGAGTCGTTGACCTCAGTATGATGGAAAGCAAATGTGAAAAGAAATGCCACGTCTTCTGCTACCCGCCAGTGCGGTTCAGCATTTGTGGTTCGACGTCTACACCCTTGGTATTGCGCGATATTGGTCAAAACATCCGCTTTTGATGCATTGCGTCGTAAACAAAAGAAATGTTGTCGTAAGTCGTAACGAGACTGTGTATCTCGTAGCATCTGGAAGATGCAAATAGTTAAGGCCAGCAAGAGCGTTTTGGTGGCTGAGCTGGAAAAGTCTCAGTGCTTGTTCACCGATGCATCGTACATGGCTCGAGCCTTCTTCATTTGCTCCGGGTCGAAGGCTTCGCTTGCGTCGCTTCCTTTCCGGCTGGCCAGTGATAGAGAGCTGCTGTTACCGAACTTCAGGCTGGCGAAGGATCGCGCTTTCTTGAGCTTGTTGCCCTTGACTTCGGTCGCATGGGGAACGTAATCGGTGTCGGTGCGAGAGTTGACCTGAACGATCTCCTCGACACTTGGTCGAGGCTTGACGCGCATACGCTTGAACTCGCGTGTGATCCTCTCCAGCTTGGACGCGCCCTTGGGCGCGGGTGCGTAGGTAGGCATGGGCTCTTCGGCAAACTGCTCGTGTACTGAGGGTCCTACGCTCGGCCTGCGCTCAGAGCCAAAGCTGACACCTGAATCTGTCTTCTTGCCTTTTCGCTCTTCCGCGTAGGCTTTGAATGACTCGGGTCCCGTGGTAGCGAGGCAGTCATCGATCATGTTCTTTGCCACTCTCAGGTACTTGTCGACTACCCTCTGAACTGCAGGCCAACCTGACTCTTCATCAGGTCCCGCGTTGTGGCTGATGATTGACTTCAGAACATCGGGACCGCTCTTCTGAACAAGGCGGATGTAGTCGAAGAACGCGTCTCGCTCCTCCTTCAATGTCTCGTGCTCCAAGACAGGCGAAGGAAGCTTAGATGAACCATGCGTAGGTGGCAGCAGTGTGTTGAGCATACCCATGCAGTTAAGCTTGTTAAAAGGTTGATTCCCGAGCTCGTTAATCATAATCTGTACTCTTTGTTAGTCTGAGCTTGCAATTTTGTTAATGATGACCTGCTTACCCATCGACGTACGCCCATCCAAACTTGAGCGTAATAGTTCTCAGCCTTCTTGTTCTTTGCTTCGACATTCCTCACCCACAGAGCGATACCAGGAAATGTCTCAGCCATGGTTTCCATATCACTCTCATACGAGTCTGGATGGATGTGAAGCCTCTCAAAGGCTGCGACCATCTCTTTACGCCTCCTGTTCTCCAGATCCCTCAGGTAGTCGAGGGCTGTGAGAGCTTGCGAAAAGTCCACAAGGTTCAGTTCGGGATGGAAACACCGGCTAACAAAGTTGACAATGAATGTGGGCGGTAGTGAGCTTGGCTGCAGAGGCAGCTTGTTGAGGTGAGTCATGAGCTCAGATGTAAAGCTCATAGTTGTGAGTTCGGTGTTGTTCCAGGCGAACTGTCCGGTAGTAGGTGATGCGCTGCCGGTACTATTGCTTGGTGTGTGGCCACGGGAAAGGTCCTTGGGGAGAGGTTGAGCGCGGGGCACACAGTTGAGGGTGTACATCGTTCGCAGAGGTATCTCGTAGCTGCTAGGATATTGCAGCACATGCTCGAGGATGTAGGACATGGAAGTGGCGCTTGTGTCATCAGACCCACTGCGAGAGTGCGTCGAAGACATTGTGGTGGTGGTCTTGGTGAGTGCGCAAGTTGAGGTCAATAGTCAGGATCTGCGCCGTTTTGTTTTGGCGAGATGTGGAAGTAACGCCGCAAAGCTTGGGGCACCTGCGCCGTAGAGAAAGGGATGTTCAGCCTTGGTGAAGGGGCGCGAAACTTGCAGGAGGAAGACGAGGCGGTCCGTGAGTCTGGTGCTAACGAATGGGCGTGGGGCCAGTGGGGGTGAGAACGCGTGATGGGAGAGAGGAGAGGGAAAGTGCGTCCGAAAGCCGGAAAATTGACAAGGTGAAAAGAACGAAGAAGTGAAGCTGCAGGAAGAATGCAACAGCTATCGTCGCAAACAGGTCGGGTCTTAAGGTCCAGGGTGGTGCGCGGATGTTGGAGTTTCCAGAGTGGTGATCCTAGTCCTGTTGCCGTTTGGATCCGGGGCAGCAGATGCAGGTAGGCGATGCGCACAAATGAGGGTCTAACGCAGGTCAAGCACCGTCAAGTGCTGTCTGGGCGCTGGGGAGAAGGGAACGGTGGGTTCGCGAGCAGTTCGAGCGTGGTGTGACGGAGTACTTGGGCGAGCAAGAGCATCAATGGCCGTGGAGGGCTTCGAAGGGTTTTCTTCTGCAGATGCACTGCACGCGAACCCCTGCAACGCTTCTTCTGGACTTGTCGGTAGCCGCTAACGCGACCATCACGGATGCGCGTGTGGCGCTGGCACTATTACAGGGTTCAGGTCGCGGAGCTGGGAAGGCTAAACTAAAACACTCCTTTGCGCCTTTGGGCAACCCCGCCGGGAGTGCTGCAGCGCAGTCACGTCAGTCAGTTCAGTCACCGGCCTGTGAGTGGAGTGCTCCTTTTCGCGGTGCTGCAGCTGCAGGTGAAGCTGCAGTCGGCTGCGAGTTCCTGCGCCCACATGTTCCTCGTGGACTCGCCCTGCGCTTTGTGAGACGCGCACTTGTCTTGTCAAAATAGCAGTCCCATGGGCGACAGCTAGAGAGTCGGCGGGTTCCACAAGGCTATCCACTGCTGCGCGAAAAGGGTTCTGTCGTTCCGAAAAGTGCTGAGTCGCTGGGGCGGCCCTGGAGGTACCCAACGGCCTAAGCTGATTCAGGTCGACGCGACTGTTTATGAGACCCACAGAAGCACCGCGAACGACTCGGGGCTGCTGCACCATCTTAGCAGCTTCACCTGCAACTGCAGGCTAGACACGCACCGTGAAAAAAGCCATGCCGCGAACCACTAGGAACTCGCATATCGACCCCCGCAGCCAATCAGATAATTCTGCACTGTGAATATGCCACTTCGAAATCCACCAGGTGGCCCTTGCATGTTCTCTGCAGCACACCAGAAAACGACCAGAGGTTGAATCGGCCTCTTTACAAAGGCCGTTCATAAACTCCATACCTTACGATGCCTCAGGTTCTGTCACCCACGTCGCAAGCACGCCATATAAAGCTAGCTATGAACTTTGCTGCTCATTCTGACAGCCTCGTTGCAAAATCGTCACGGCGTACGGCGTCTGTAGCGACATTGAAAGTCGTCCGTGCCTCTCTAGGCTCGAGCAACGCCCTGAACGAGGGTTTCCTTGCAGACCGTTGGGCAGCGTTGTAGCGACAGCAGAGACGGCAGATTGCTCATCTTGAGACAACACAACAATAACAAACAACAACGCGACTCGAGTTTGGTACGCGCGACTGCGATGGCGGTCCGGCCTCAAGCCGTAGGCGCATGAGGAGATTGACAGCTGCCATAGTCTCGGACGAAGTCCGTAGCAAGCGATTGAGCGCCGTGCATGGTCAACAATAACGGCTGGGTAGCTTGATAACGGCTGGCATTGCAGACGGGTTGCAGTGCATCGTAGCCGAGATCGCACATGAATATCTGCTTTGACGACGTTGTCACGAAAGGATGCACCATGTCATCTGTGTCACGAGGAATTGCAAACACACATCAACTCCATTGACAGGGGCACCCCACTGGGCACCAAAGTTGGCCAACTAAGATGTGATCCACAGTGATCCAGCCCTGCTATGAGAAACTACAGATCGTAGGATCAATTGGGATAACTTTGCGTGGAAAAGCCCAAACGCGAGTTGAGAAAGTAGCCTCTGAAGTCTGGCTTTGGGTGCAAATTGCCGATCAACACGCTTGACCAGTGCCTGAGTCTATCGGAGTGTTTTCCGCAATTCGACAAATATTGTCGCGTAAACACAAGTTCAACAGCAAAGCCCACCAAAGGACCAGACGCGGGGCCCTCAACCACAGGACGCGATCACCTCCGAGTCGTTTGGTGTTAAGTCCGTTGTCTGGTACTCTAGCTAAGCGTCCAAATGTGTCACAACAGCCAATATCCGGAGCCCCCACCAAACAACGTCGCGCACTGTGATTCGCCGCAGCTCAATTGCGTCCAAATGATGCAGCAACGTAATCGCACCACGCGAAAATGAAGCGCACTAACTTCAACACCCAGCGCAGATCACCAACTACTTACTCAAGTTGTCGCCGAACAAGAGGTGTGGTCGCACGTGTAAGCTACGTCCAAGGTTCATGCTGCTGTCTCAAGCTTGCGTGACGACGTGTTTTCTAGAAAAGGGGTACAGTGCTCAGCTGTCTCCTGGAGACCTTTGGGTGCAACGCCGGACGCCGTACTCCCGCATACACGAGTATTGGGCTCACCAACAGCCACTGGTGTTACTGTCAAGACAATAGTCGCAAGGTAGCCATCAGCCTCACCTGGACGGACTGACAAACGTTACAACGATTAGGTTTGAGATCCCTTCCTTGGGGGTTCTTCAGTAGGACTTTTGTACGAAATCTCCTGAGCACTCATTGTAAACGTACGCCAGTAGTAGCCTACATGCACAATGGTAAAGGTGATGTCTTGTCGTTGATAAGGAAGGCAATTAATCAGTTACACGAGATTGGTTGCGACTTAAAGGCCAAGACGAGCAGAACAGAATTAGAAAGCATTGCGACAAATTGTGATGTCGGATTTATACTCAACACCAAAAATTACTACGTTGAGTTATACGGTATACGGAATGGAGTATGGCAAGCGTGTCGTTCCACGCCCTACGCGCCCTGCAGCCTTGATGAGTCATGATCATTGACAACGTCAAAAGATGTCACATATGAAAAGTTCAACATCACGCAACAACAGCTGCCAGCTCAAAGCACCACTTCGTCAACATGGCATCCTCTCCTAAGCTCGACTTCGTCACCGTCGACGTCTTCACAGACAAGCCATACGAAGGCAACCCACTAGCCATCATCCGCATCCCCAACGGCGTCAGCGTAACACAAGAGCAGAAGCAGAGAATCGCACGCGAATTCAACCTCTCGGAATCAACATTTCTCCACGAGAATGCGCCTGGCGCAAAGGAAAATAAATGGACCGTAGACATCTTCATGACATCGAAGGAGCTACCTTTCGCCGGCCACCCCACAATCGGCACAGCATGCTACGTTCTCTCAAGAACCGCTGAGGAGCGCGGCATCAAGGACGGAGTCATCGAGGCAGGATTCCAGTTGAAGGCGGGCCATGTTGGGCTTCGGTATGATGTAGCGAAAAAGACGGCCAAAGCAGCTATCCCCCACGATGTACATGTGCATAAGAAGAGGTGGAGCACAGATGAGCTGTTCAAGTTACAACCCGGCCTTGCCGTGGCGCACGAGAAGGGTGAGGTCAAGACGCAAGAAGACTATCCCATTGTGTCTATTGTCAAGGGCATGACCTTCATTCTCATTGAGCTCGAGAGCGTTGAGGCACTTGCGAAAGTGTCATTGGCGGGACAGAGTGTCAAAGTCCATGGTTTGGATCAGGGTTGGGATGACACTTTCATTGGAATGTACTTCTATGTGCGAACGGGCAAGAGCGAGAGCGGAGCGATGCAATTGAGGACAAGGATGATTGAAGGGCCGCTCGAGGACCCTGCTACAGGATCAGCAGCGAGCGATCTGGTGTCTTATTTGTCGCTAAATGAGAGCAAGGCTGGGGAGACGCTGAAGTACGAGTTGGTGCAGGGTGTTGAGATGGGACGCAGAAGCGAAATCTTCATTCATGTCGTAATGGCAAAGGACGGCGGTATCGAGACTGTTTATCTTGAGGGTGGGGCGGTTCACGTGATGGAGGGGCGGGTGACGGTCTGAACGAGGATCGAAAGATACTGATGAATCCACGCTTCAACATCGGGGTGAATATATTTCGGCCTGAGGACTTCCGGTCGCGATTCACAAGCGGAATGAAAGGGGCCCTGAAGATGATATTAAGACATCGATTTTGATCTGGCACGTTCTCAAATCACTAGACTAGCCCATGTTGTCATCCGTCACAACCGTTAAGCCGTCACGACAGCTTTGACGTATGATTGGGCAGAGGAGCCTTGATCAACGGCTGGTTTGAGACAGGAACGACAGCCACCGCGAGTGGAGAAGTATCCACACGATCGATAGAGCTGCCTGATTAGGCAAAGGGATCGTTTGGACTGTTCCTGCCGTGTGTTCGGTTGCTACCGAATGCACCGTAAGGCATCTCAAAGGTTTGAGGGATCTATCCTCGCAATTGATGTTGTTGTAAGAATCTGGAGTGTGTGACGTTTTGGGTGGGCAGCACCCTGTCGAACGGACCAATGGCGCGCTAGCGCGAACTGATCTCCAACACTGCATGCTTGAGCTTCTTCAAACCTCACACACGACCTGTCTCCAGCACCACTTCTTCATGCCTAACGTACTGCCAACCTGACGAGGTTTCTGTGACAGCCTCAGTGAAGCAGATGGCGCCTGCGGAAGCTCGGCGCTCTGTGCGTTACCCTCAGGCAGGCTTGAATGGCAGGTCCTGACACATGTCGGCCTTCAACCAGGGTTTCGTGCCCCAGGAACCATCAGCTGCCTTACCAGGTTGCACATCGTCATGTATGTCGCCAAGGCACATAAGAGAAATGCCATGGCCGGTCTGGTTATTTGGTCTCGCACCATCCTCAGTCGCTTGTTCTTTCACATTTGAGGACTGTCCGTCGAGGGTTACGTTCCTTTTCTTCCTTTCCTCTAATTTTCAGATTACGTTGACCGTGTCTGCGTGTTCTTCTAATCTACCGCTAGCCGGAGTCCACTCTTTTGTAAACCTTACTTTCTAGTCACATCCGGTTTCTGTTCGCTCTGTCGACTTCGATAACCGTCATCATGAGGGTCTCAACACTGTTCCCTATCCTGCTTGCAGCTGGTGTTGCCAACGCTCAGTTCGGAGGGTTTGGCGGAGGAGGCTTTGGAGGCTTTGGTCAAGGCCAGCAGAACAACCAGCAGCAAAATCAACAGAACCAGCAGAACCAACAGAACCAACAGAACCAACAGAACCAGCAGAACCAGCAGAACCAGCAGAACCAGCAGAACCAAGGCCAGAATGGTCAGAACAACAACAACAACAACAACGGTGGCGGCGGTGGCAACTTGGCCTTGGACCCAGCTAACGTCCAGGCCAACAGTGCGGCGACTGGTCTTGAGCAAGGCGCTGAAGAGGGCCAGGCTGCTTCTGATACGTGAGTATGTCAAAAACATGAGGCATAGCTCATGGCTGACCTGACGACAGTGACAACGCCAACTTCATCAACTTCTGTACCGGCAAGACGCTCACCAATGGACTTCAAGTCCGTGATGGGTCGTGTAACGGTATTCGTAAGTCTCATTTCATCATGTCAGCAGATACATGTTCTAACTCTCTTCAGCGATGGGAGAAATCCCTGCTGCGAACCGTATGGTTTCTGGCGTCTTCACCAGCCCCCAGAATGGCGATGTTCTGCCTCCGGACACTGCGATGACTTTCTCGATCCAGATCGCCAACTTGCAAGCTGGAACATTCACGAACCCCGACAACACATACTACGCTGCTCCTCAAGCCCTCCAAGGAGGTCAGGTCGTCGGCCACACCCACATCACAGTACAGGACCTTGGCAATGACCCCAACCCTACCCAGCCTCTCGATGCAGAGACGTTCGCATTCTTCAAGGGTATCAACGACAACGGCAACGGCAACGGACTCCTGAGCGCTGATCTTGCGGATGGTCTTCCTGAAGGCTTCTACCGTGTTTGTTCCATGACCTCGGCCAGTAACCATCAGCCAGTCCTCATGCCTGTCGCCCAGCGTGGTGCTCAAGACGACTGTGTCAGGTTCCAGGTATCTCCCAATGGCGGCGGTAACAACAATGGCCAGAACAACAATGGCCAGAACAACAACCAGGCGAATCAAGGTCAGAACCAAGGTCAGAACCAAGGTCAAACCCAGCAAAACCAGCAGCAGCAGCAGCAGGGTCAACAAGGTCAGCAAGGCCAACAAGGTCAGCAGCAAGGCCGGCAAGGCGGCGGCGGCCGTGGACGATTCGGACGTCCCAAGTTTGCTGCCCGGAACTTCATCGCCTAAGCGATAATACTTTGAAGCCATATTCAGGCTCTCATGGTGGAACGTGGTAATAGTACTTCTTTTGCCCATATACCAGACAGCGCACCTCAGTCCTCAGGAAGGATATGAGATTATACGGCTAGTCCTGACGGCGCTTTCTTTTTTGATGCATTCACGATACCTCTGTAAACCTATGATCAATACAACATCTCGCGCTCAATCCCACACAACAACCTCCTCTCCCTCTGTGACAGATCCCGTATCACCCTGCCTCAGGCACCCGCACCTGCATTACACGAGCGCTTGGTGTGCCTTGGTTTGCCTTGGTCCAGCCTTGATATTCTGAGGCATTCATGCGGCCAGGCACCGAAACGTGGCGCGTGTCTCAGGATCGTAGATCAGGCGGTAAGTACGTGTGGGTATGCCGACTTTAGCCTCGGTAGAGGCCGCGTGCAGCACGCTTTCTTGAGTGTCGATCGACGGGAAGTGCAATGCGGGTTTATGCTGTGTGGGCACACCGCTGTTCTGTGCGCTTTGCTGCACGGCGCTTCGATTTACTAAATGAGGGCACGGACTAGTTGGTTGTGTAGTACAGCATGAATCCGGTTGAACATGTCAATCGACGCAGTAAAACTATTTTTTGATCGTAGGATCCCAAGACAGGGGTGATGACTTCAAATAGATGACACTGAAGTTGCGCAAGGCTGCGCCACTTCTTAGGCCGTCCGCTTGGTGATGAGTCATAAGTGGCCGTGGCGGCGCTGTGAATGGACTACAAATTCTTGCCATAAGGCAAAGCGCTGCCGGGATTCATGACGTTCATGGCTCGAGACATTCAAGAGTCTACCATCGACATGATCAACTCAACGACCAAAGCAGATCAGACCGCCACTGAATCTTCGAACACACCAACACTGCCTACGGAAATCTGGCTACAAATCCTTGAGCACGACGATATCAAGCACTTGTGGCTGTCAGTTCGCAACATTTCTCGAGCGTACAGAGACTGTGTCGAGCGCCTGTTCTCCACCAAGTACTTGCACAGAGTCAGCATTACCTTATCGCTTCCACAACGAGATCTGGTAACCAACAAATTGAAATGGCCGGGCGATCCGATCCCTACTTCGCAGCTGGTGATGGCGTACGCTCGACTCAGCGAAGATGGAAAGCGACTCCGTCTCGAATCCTCAACCGTGGTGAAAGACGGATACAGTGAAAAGACACTCGAAGAGCTCAGAGAGGCAGGATCCCTCCCGAAAGAGCGGTTAGAGGAAGCGCTCACCACCGTGAACATGAGCACGCATCCAATGGCGGGTCTGACGATCAAATTGTCGGTTCGCATTGACTGGGATGAGACGCGGAAGGTCTTGGCTTGGGATGTTGAATGGCGAAGTGTGCTCAGCCGGTTCTTGGATGCAAAGGATAGGCAGGGGAAGATATGGCCTACGACAGTGTGGGACACTGTGCCTCGTGGACTCCCATGGCGTAGTGATCAGGCTCATTTAGCGTAACACATCGATACCAACTATCCCAAGCTGACAGCCTTGTCGTGATCAAGGAAGGGGCCAGACATGGGAGGCGTTCAGGTCAGCTGGTGGTTGGTGGCTCAAAGAGTGACAGTCTTGCCAGTCATCATGCGCTGAGCGATCAGACTAAAGCCAGCTATCGATGACATGAATATGACAAGGTTGTAGAACTGTTCGAATGATCGTTAGTACAATTATGAAGTTCATGTTCAATGAGGAGCGTACAGCATTTCTTGAGTATTCACTCTCTTCCGCATCAGTGCGTGCTTCGACGAATAGACGGCGCAGGTTTGGCAGATTGGACGGCTTCATGTTGTTAGCTATAAATTCGAGTAGACGATCGTGCAGGTATCAGGTTTACTGACCATTTCGATGTTCAAGTTGTGGTGTTGATGTGAGGGCGGCAGGGACATGGGGATGAGCATCGGGCTAGAATGACGCACAGACCCGCAACATCGTCAATGAGGGAGCCGCACCCAGGCCTCCGTTCAAGTTGAACATCAACAGTAATCCCCCGACGGCCGTACCTTTTCGAGTCACGAGACTCCCTTTGCTCGAGACTGAACCTACCGCCGAACCATACGAATCTATTGCGCCGCGACCGAGACTGGCCGCGCGGTCGTTACAGCCACGGAACAACGAGACTGGTATATGAGGGGTCCAAGTAGGGGATTCAGCTCTGCGGTTGAAGCATAAAGATGGCGGTCAACAGAATAAGAGGCGCTTTTGCGCCGCCAAAGAAAGGAGAGACGTTCGAGCTGAGAGCCGGTCTGGTGTATGAAACTCCCAAAGAAGTGACATAGCTGTCCATAACTAACTACTGCTGCAGCTCTCAATATGCATACGAACGGTAAATAATCTCGCCGGAGACCCTCGCACCGCAAGGATACTGAGACTTTGCTAGGAAAGAAGCTATCCAGAAGACCATCATGTCCATGACATTGGGCAAGGATGTGTCCTCCCTGTTCCCTGACGTCCTGAAGAACATCGCAACGGGCGATCTCGACCAGAAGAAGCTGGTATACTTGTATCTCATGTATGCGCCAGCATCCAACTTGTCGAGGTCACTTCTGATTGTCTGGACAGGAACTACGCGAAATCACATCCGGACCTATGTATTCTCGCCGTGAACACCTTCGTACAGGACTCCGAAGACCCAAACCCCCTCGTGCGAGCGCTTGCGATACGAACAATGGGCTGCATTCGGGTAGACAAGATGGTGGACTACATGGAAGAGCCGCTACGGAAAACGCTCAGAGACGAATCGCCGTACGTGCGGAAAACAGCAGCTCTCTGTGTAGCTAAGCTCTTTGACCTCTCACCCTCGATGTGCTTAGAGAACGGCTTCCTAGAACAGCTCCAGGAGCTGGTTGGTGATCCCAATCCCATGGTCGTAGCCAATTCGGTAACCGCACTGGTGGAGATCATGGAAACATCTCCGGAGACCAAAGCGCTGGTGATCACTCCGCAGACTCTGAAGAAGATGCTGTTGGCGCTGAACGAGTGCACGGAGTGGGGGCGAGTAACGATCCTTACGACCCTGGCAGACTACAAAGCGGCAGACATCAAGGAAGCAGAACACATTTGCGAGCGTGTCGTCCCACAGTTCCAACACGTCAACCCGAGTGTCGTTCTGGCCGCTGTCAAGGTTGTGTTTTTGCACATGAAGAACATCTCTCCCGAGCTGCTGAAGTCATACACAAAGAAGATGGCGCCGCCTCTAGGTAAGGACTACTTGACACCACAATCTGATGATTACTGACTCATGACAGTCACACTGGTATCTTCCGCATACGAAGTGCAATACGTTGCACTGCGCAACATCGACCTCCTCCTACAGAAGCAACCGGATATCTTGAGCAAAGAAATGCGCGTCTTCTTCTGCAAATACAACGACCCCAACTACCTCAAGATGCAGAAGCTGGAGATCATGGTGCGGATAGCGAACGACAAAAACGTGGACCAATTGCTTGCAGAACTGAAGGAGTACGCGCTGGAAGTGGACATGGACTTCGTTCGCAGGGCGGTCAAAGCTATTGGCCAGGTCGCTATCAAGATTGAGAGCGCCAGCGAAAAGTGCGTCAATACGCTCTTGGATCTCATTAACACGAAGGTCAACTACGTCGTTCAGGAAGCGATCGTAGTGATCAAGGATATCTTCCGAAAGTACCCCGGCTACGAAGGGATAATACCCACCCTTTGTCAATGTATTGACGAATTGGACGAGCCGAACGCAAGAGCATCACTCATCTGGATCGTTGGCGAGTACGCGGAGAAGATCAACAACGCTGGGGAGATCCTCACAAACTTCGTGGATGCTTTTGCAGAAGAGTTCACCCAGGTAAGCTTGAGAGCACCCACGTGAAGCGCCAGCACTGACATACAATAGACTCAACTCCAGATCCTCACAGCAGTCGTGAAGCTCTTCTTGAAGAAGCCAGACCAGGCTCAAGGCCTTGTCCAGAAGGTCTTGCAAGCTGCGACAGCCGAGAACGACAACCCTGACATCAGGGATCGAGCCTACGTCTACTGGCGGTTGCTCTCGAGCGACCCGCAGATCGCCAAGGACATTGTACTATCCGACAAACCCCCGATTACCTCGACAATCCGCTCCCTTCCTCCTCAACTGCTTGACAGTCTCCTTAACGATCTCTCGACACTGGCTTCTGTCTACCACAAGCCACCGGAGGCTTTCCTTGGCCAAGGTCGATTCGGTGCGGAAGCTATGCAGCGTGCTGCTATCGAAGAGCAGCAGGAAGATGCAAGAGAGAACCCGATTGCCGCAGCAGCCGTCGCCGCAGCAGCGAGTGGACAATCGGCACCCCAATCGAACATGGAAAACCTTCTGGATATCGACTTCGATGGCTCCGCTCCCGCTTCACTACAGAAGGAACCAACACAAGGACAATCAGGTCTCGAAGGTCTGGCAGGTACACCACAGCGTGTCGCATCTCCTGCTGTGGGCGGCACTCAACAACCACAGTCCAACATGGACGATCTATTAGGTCTGTTCGGAGACGGTGGAAGTGGAGGAGCACCTGCTGCACCTGCTGCACCTGCACATATGAGCAACGATGACATCATGAACGGGTTTGCAAGTATGAGCATGCAAACGAACCAGCCCCCACCTCCACAACAACAACAAATGGGAGGAGAGGCGAGTAAGAAGACGAACCAAGATTTGTTGGACTTATTCTAGGCTTGGTGTACAGGAAGTATGGTGTTGGAGTTGTCTTAGGGAACGGTACATGCAAAGAGCATAAGACGGCGCACGCGTGGTAACCTGTACGATGGGAGACGAATAGAAAACATTCTGAACACAACTAGGCCTATTCACTGAAACATCGTTGCCTATTACTTTCAGCCTGGAGTGGCGCTCCTGCCTCCAGAGTATCTTAGCGTGGTTTTGTTGCTTGGCGCCTGGACCCCTGCCCTTGCCTACCGCCACTAGCATCATAACAATCACTGGCGAACTCAAGCTTCACTTAACTTGGATGGATATTCACGTGCGAGGTGGCTTTGTGCTTAAGTAGTTAGCCAAGCTCTCTTTAATCTGATCATCTCCCTTTCTTAGCACTCCTCGCCATGTTTATGCTCCGCAACTGTATGTTTGTTTGCCCTTGCGCCTGCCCCTCCCCCCGCTGTCGTCACTCAGGAAACTGACTTCCGTCTTTAGTGAGCAAATTTGTCTTTGGTGACAGTTCTAAAGAAACCATCGTCGAAATTTCGCAGGGCCAGCTTTACCTCGTCCGACCGCGATCCGTAAAGGGCTACTCTGAGCTCATCTTCAAGGACGCCGCCGCTACCATCCGTCGCACCGGGCAGGAGTTCCAGTACCAGCTCGTTGTCCAGCGCGCATACGAGGAAGGAGAGGAAGATCTGCTAGCTGAAGAAGGAGGTGAAGACGCAGGTCTTGACGCACTTGCAGGCGACAAGGACGAGAAGACATTCTTGCTTGACGAAGGCCTACAGTTCCGCACCGACGTACGCTCGACCGGCGAGAAGATCTTTGCTTGGCGAGATCTTAGCGGCGACGTAGACGACCTTTGGGAGTTTGTCTGCGATCCCTCTGTCAAGCCTGAGACTGTCGCTCTCTTCGAGCGTGTTGCCCTGCAGTGCCAGTACGAGCGCAAGTTCAGGAGGAGCCACGAGCACGCAACAGACGACGATCTCGAAGCCCTAGCCTATTACGAAGAGGCCATACCGGACGCCAGCCCCGTCACTAGCCCTACCCGCAAAGCTCTCGAAGCGCCGCTAACGACAGAAGATCTGTTCCCGAACACCAAAAAGGAAGTAATGGCTAGAAAGACGGCAAGCAGGACAGTTGCGCCGCAGCAGGAGGAGGAGGCAACTGCGGCACCGCAATCTGTCGTGCAGCCAAAGGCCTTGGACTTGCTGGCAGAGGAGAGCGCGGAACTCCACCTCTTCGATTTCCCTACTGGCACATTCAAGCTTCAAGACGCGAATGTGACAGCTACGGTCACCGAGATTGGTGATTGGCAGTACTGGCTTCACATCGTTGGCGACGAGCGCGAATGGTTAGGTCAGCCCATTGTCGATGACATCAACCCTGTGTTCAACTATGAATTCAAGTCGTTCATCTTCAATCACTACTTGGAGGATGGCTCAGCTTACTCTTGGCTGCTGAGGTTCAAGGAACAGGAACAGTTGGAGAGCATACAGAATGGCGTCATGCAAGCATTGTGGGAGCACCTGAACCAGGTCAAGTGGCAGAAGGCTAAGGATACGGACCGGGAATACGTGCTGGAGGCTTTCCAAGACATGACTATGGAGGACGCTCCTGAAGAAGAGGAGGACGAAGAGGAGGACGAAGAAGAGTTTGAAGATGCGCACGACCAGCGCAGCGAGCATTACGATTCGGATGAGTCTGAAGACGACATAGAAACTGCACCCAAGGACGGCGATGAGAACTCACAACTGGCTGTCGGCTACAAGCATGACCGCTCTTTTGTTGTTCGAGGCAACAAGATCGGCGTCTTCAAACACACAGCGGATAACCAGCTGCAATTCTCGACCACCATTTCCAACGTCATGACACCCAAGGGCAAGGCTTTCAGCCCCAACAAGGTCATGCTCCACCAACAAGATCAGGACATGATTTTGCAGAATCTCGACAACCCCAACTCACTCTACCGCATGGATCTGGAGACTGGTAAGGTTGTTGATGAGTGGAAGGTCCACGATGACATCCCCGTGAAGGTCTTTGCACCCGAGAGCGTAAGTTTCCCGGGTCATGCCGCATGTTCAAAGCCGGAGCTAATATGGTTGTAGAAATTCGCACAGATGAGTGGAGAGCAGACTTTCTTAGGTCTCTCTGGCAACGCTCTTTACCGTGTCGACCCTCGTCTGAACGGCAACAAGCTTGTTGATGACCAGCTCAAACAGTACGCTACCAAGAACGCTTTCTCCGCCGCTGCAACGACCGAGAAGGGACACATTGCCGTTGCTTCTGAAAAGGGAGACATTCGTCTCTTCGACCGCCTCGGTATCAACGCGAAAACTCTCATTCCTGCTCTTGGAGACCCGATTATTGGCATGGATGTGTCTGCTGACGGTCGCTGGGTGCTTGCTACCACGCGAACTTACCTTCTCCTTATTGATGCGCTGCAGAAGGGTGGCAAGAACGATGGCAAGCTTGGTTTTGAGAAGTCGTTCGCAAAGGACGACAAGCCACAACCTCGCCGTCTTGCGTTGACACCTGCCCACGTTGCCCAATTCCAGCACGAGACCAAGGCGCCCATCTCATTCACTACAGCGCGCTTCAACACTGGTCTCGACGACAAGGAGACCACCATTATCACCGCCACTGGCCCCTTCATTATCACTTGGAGCATGAAGAAGGTCCTCGCGGGTCGCAGGGATCCATACAACATCAAGCGTTACGCCGAAGAGGTCAAGGCCGACAACTTCAAGTTTGGCTCAGACAAGAATCTTATTGTTGCCCTGCCTAACGAAGTCGACATGGTGGCCCGCCGTGCACTGCAGAAGCCAACGAGGGAGAGTATTGCGTTCCCTTCGCGTGTCGGCCAGCTGTCTACACCTAGGCGTGGCAACCGCAGCAGCTACTTGGGTCGCGATGATATTGTCAACAGCCCCTACTAGGCTTTGCAACGGTAGGCAGCGTACTGGTCGGTCTGGAGCTAGTACGTGATGATCTTGAGCGATGCTTCGTGGTGGCCTTTCTTTGATGATGACAGTCCATTCCACTTGGAGGCGTGGGCGATGCGCTTCTACTTGATACCTGATTCCCCTTAGATCGTCGAGACGAATGATGATTGTACCTTTCGAGCTTGTTGTCCAGATGCTTGTGATACGGTCGAGCTCGCTCTTACTGTGCTTATACTTGTCAAGGGAGGTGATATGAGCAGAATTGTGATGTGTTGATAGGTACCTGTGTGGTGTTTATCTACACAGAAGGGGAGCTGTGGGCGCTAGCCGGAGATGGGAAGGCGCAGGGCCTGAAGAAGAACTGCAGTGAAGGTGCTGGTCTGCGTAAGAAGAGGTCTCGATTTAAAGTTCATTGTTCTTAGTTGGTAACGAGCTACGCTGGCCTTCCCATTACTACACCATGTCATCGAGCGCTTTCACTGCACCAAATGACACATACCCATCTCCTATCCAGAATCTCACTGAACCCACCATGTACTTGTAAAACAGCCAGCCTCACGCCTGAATACTCCATCGCATCCAACCAGCACCAAAGTCATCGAGCCTACCCGACCACTTACCAGCCATGTATTTTACCTCACCCCGACTTTATGCTTAGAGGCGGGTGAGCATAAGGATATATGACGAACTATAAGAGTAGACAGCAAAAGAGCATTGGATGGGTCGAATTTGAGGTAGACTAGAGACAAGCACAGGCAAGTATGGAGACGAACTAAGGGTTCTGAATCGTTGATTGAAGTGTGGATCTATGTACAACAACGATTAGCCCAATGAACGAAAACAGCCAACCCGTCTTTCTTGTGAGGTCCTCCGACCAAAAGTCGTGCTCGGCACTGACAAGCACATGCACCGCTAGATCCTATGAAGCCAGATATGCAGACTCTGACCTCCAGTCCTATTCCTCTTATTGTCCCAGCCGGCATCCTTCATTGTCAGTACCCTCGCCACAGCATCACCATACTTAAACGTCTGTCCCTTCTCCCACATCCCATTCCCCAACTCAATGCACTCCGTGATCGCCATGTTCTCACAGTCATCCGCACTTGCGTTATTGTTGCAAACCTGAATCAGGCGATTCAGGCCCGTGGAGCTCGATATGTTGAACATCTCAGTCACGAACTGAGCCCCTGGAGACAGCCAGGGACATACATTGCCTTTGATGTGGATGAAGAGCGTGTGCTCGGACGACTCGACGTGGGTCACGCCGGGAGGCACGCCGCCGGGAATTTGGGTCACGTCACCTTGCTCGGGCTGTGGAGGTGCGCCGCCGTTACCGTCGATGGCTACAGGCGGGGGTCGATAGCCGGGGAGACCGATGCCGGGCATCACTGGAGGGATTATGCCGCCCATCATGCCGCCCATCATGCCACCCATCATGCCGCCTACGACGGCGGGGACGTTGCCGAATGCGAGGCCACCGCTACCAGACCAGAGGGGCGCAGCGGGCGCGAAGGCGGGCACGACACCGGTTGCGAGAGCTCCGGGAGGAGGTGGTGGGAATGGCATGCCTCCAGCTGCGTGAAGACCGAAACCTATTCCGCCGTGAGCACCAGGAATGAAGTTACCTAAGGCACTGTTAGTCTTCTGGCAGTATCATATATTGCTGCAGACTCGACTTACCAGAGCGAATCGGAGCCAATGGACCCCCACCTCCATACATGAAGGGGTCCATAAAAGGCACGGGTGGAAGCATACCTAAGCCGATGCCTGCGCCGTATGGAGATACGATACCAACGGGAGGAGCGATGCCGATGGGTACTGGAGGTCCGTAGATGGGTGCCTGCTGATGTTCAACAACGACTTGACCGCCTGCTGCAGCTGGGGCGGGTGCGCTGCCTTGGACGACGTTGAGGGGCGGAGGTGGAGGGTCGCGGTTGATGTTGGGGTTGCTTCCAACGTTTGCGCACCAAGGTTGACCGAGGGGAGGGCCGGCAGACATGAAGAAGAGAGGATGACGAGACTACTGACCTTGAGGATCAGCAGTGGACACTAAGGTGCAGGAGCTGGTAGTGGCTGATACGAGCTTTGAAGTCTGCCAATGTGGAATCAATGGGCGATGAGGGTGAGTTCTTTTAGGCGAATATACTTGCTATAAATATACCAGGGGCCAAGTGCCGCCTTGAATGGGCGAGCGTGAATACTGATGTGTTGTTGCGCAGAGGCAACATTGCGAACGCGGAGGCGATCAGCGACGACGGACGTACTGTGATGCAAGTCACAGGACCCATAGGGGGTGATGTGAAGTCGTGTCGTTTTGTAATCATGGTTTGGCGCCACGAACAGAGACATGTTGCGAGCGGTTGTAGATCAAGCAAACGCCACGACCGAACACTTGAGAAGCCGGTACGTTGAAGAAAGGCATAAGGCGAAGTAGTATGAACTTAAATGCAATGCATATTTGTTATATTGAACTTGCGTGAAAGGACATGTTGCTCAATACTTTCATGACTCGATCTAGCAGGTGGCAACCTTGGGTCCAGGGACAGTGTAACTGTTGAAGTTGTTGTAAATGTTTGCCGTATAGCCGGAGTCGGTTGCCTTGACGTGACCGGGGATCTTAGTAGTGGGCGAGAGAGTCTTCGAATCCCCACCGGTAACCTTGATCTGAGCGCAGGAGATGTAGAACTGAGGAGGCGAGCCGGGGTTGTGGATAGCGAGCTGCTCGATGCGCAGCAGGTACTCGCCAGCAGCGACGCAAGAGGGAATGGTAACGGAATAGTTGTCTGTATAAACGTTAGTGCTGATACAATGCAAAGAGCCTGTAAGTGTAGGCATACCCTTCAGGTCCCAAGTCGCTTGGCCGCCGGAGAAAGTAGGTCCAATCTCCTTGATCTTGACCCAATCGGACGAGCCATCAGCGGCAGCTGCGCTGGCGACCTTGGTCAGGTAGAAAGAAACAGGTCCCTGGTGGTATACAGCTTGGTCTGCTGTGAATGTGACTGATGATCCGGCAGCGACTGAGACTGTGGTGGTCGAAGCTCCGCTTCCACCGCCAACATTGCAGCGCAGATCGTTCGATGCAAGGTCGATGACAGGCGAGTTGTTGTTGGTGTTCTTGCGGATGTTCTGGTATTGAGCTCCCTTGACACCGTTCGCTGTGAGGTACTGGAAGATGTAGTGACCGTGGGCGACTTCAGCGAGCGCCGCGCAAAGAAGAGTGATTGCTGCGAAGGACTTCATGATTGCTGGGTTATCAAATGGAGCGGGTGTGAATGTTTCGAAGATAGTCGAAGATGCTGAATATCAAATGCAGTGCGTCTCTCGATTTATATAGCTTTTCGAAGATGCAGCGGCCTGACGCATCGTTATGTCCATATTGTAGGACTCACATCATGTCCATCCATATTAAACGTCCACTCTTGATTGGATCAAGCATTGGCATACAAATGAGTCTACATCGCAATGCTACTGCTATGTCGGTTAATGAGCCGGATCATGAGGCGGAGACAATGTCTCCGCTGCCGGCGGCTGTCGAATGTGGACCAGTCTTGGCTTGAAACGTCGACATGGACATTTGGCGGGCGTGCGCTGGTAGGCCAAGCAATCTAAAACAAATCCTCGAATGTCGCTTCGCTGTCGTGCCAGCATGTTCGAAACGTCGTCAAGCCATCCCTACTCGAGATTCCCAATCCACGGCTGAGATCTTGATCGGTAATATCAAGTTTGTAAATGGTCGAACAGTCCACGTGCCGGGTAGATTAATATCTGGGCCAATATGCCATATTAGTTCTGGATTTGAGGGGGGACGCAAGAACGCCAAAAATGCAAAACAAAACAAGTAACAAAACATGGACTTTGCGCCTCGCTCTATCGGTTCGAAGGGAAAGGGCAACTGTAATCATATGATGTGAGTCCTATCCAGTTCAGATGAGCTTCCCGAATACCGGCCTGGAGTCGATATACGCGAGCAGTCTCGCGATCTATCTCAAGGAAGACATCGTTCGTCGCCACTCTTCTCACCCTGATAGAACGAATGGCAAAGAGGACAAGTGGTAAATCTACGCCGGCCTGTTCCACAGCTGTGCTCAGATGTAAGGTGAAAAGCCCCCCGGAGCTTCAAACAATCGAGGTGAGACTTTTCAGCCAGACAGCGCGACGGCGTTGCCTCTCGATGACGCTGTTGCGATCGTGATATTAGCTCTCCTGGTGCGTGTTACGAAGGAGCAATGTCCAGAAGCCCTTCGAGGAGGTTACGACGTTGCGCCAACGGTTCAACGTGTGGTTATCGGTCTGATGCAGATGTTGCTAGACAAGCGCTGCCAGACATATTGGTATAGCGACATCGCGAGGACGACAATGTGAAGTCGGTGAGGACAAGGCATCTTCTTGACGCTGTTGTTGCAGAGGACGTGAGCGATGGTGGCGGCTCAAGGCGCAACACCGGCATGCGTCGCCCGAGAGCGGGGTCGTCACTCCGCCTGCATTCACCATTCCACCATTCAAGCGATCCACTAGCCGTTCTCTAGTAAGTCCATCCGATTTCGACGATGGCGCTGGCGTTGAAGATAGCAGATCCACTCTCTTATCAAGTTTTAGACTGTAGTTGATCACACACAATCTGTGTTAGGTGACTATCGAGAAATCTAGCAAAGCTACAAGTACTCAAGCTTCAACTTCATCCAGATCATTTCGCATTTGCCGGCATTCATCACAGCCTCATATCAAGATGTCTACAGAAGTCGCCACCGATGCAGCACCGCAAGCCACCAAGGTGGTGCCTTTGCATCCCCTTGCACCGCTATCAGCCTCAGAGATCACGACTGCAGTATCGATAATCAAAGCTTCGTGGCCAGCTCATACGGACCTGCACTTCAAGGTTGTTACATTGCAGGAGCCACCCAAGGCTGAAGTCCTGCGGTACCTGGAAGCCGAGCACGCCGGAAAGTCAAGACCAGAGATCAGCAGGAAAGCATTTCTGAACTATTATATCAGAAACACAGTACAAATACTTCTATCAGTTCCATTGAGGGTCTGCATCTGACTGAACATATAGAACAAGTTCCACGAAGCGGTCATCGACCTTACATCTAGGCGCGTCGAGCGCAACGTGCTTCTCGGACCCTTCATTCACGCTAATGGTGATGGCGATGAGATCGTGGCTATCGAAAAGATCGTCCTCGCGGATGAGCGTGTTCAAGCTGAGATCGCTAAGTTGCAACTACCAGAAGGCACCACTGTCATTAGCGATCCCTGGATCTATGGATCCGACGGCATAAACGATGAGGACAGGCTATATCAGTGCTTCCTGTACCTACGAGACCCCAACAACTCATCCGAAGCCGACTCCAACCACTACGCCATGCCAATTCCCATCTCACCGGTCCTTAGCACCGAAACAATGAAAGTCATTCGGATCGACATCATGCCCACTGGAGCTGACAACACAATCAAGCCTATCGAGAAGTACAAGGTCCAGCCGCCGAATGAGTACGTCCCGGAAGCTCAGACTCTTCGAACCGACTTGAAGCCTTTGAACGTTGTCCAGCCTGAAGGTGCCAGCTTCAAGATCCAACAGGAGGGTACCTCAAGTGTCTTGTCGTGGCAGAAGTGGAACTTCAGAGTTGGCTTCAACCAGCGTGAGGGCATGGTGCTGTATGATGTCCGATACGACAGCCGACCTCTTTTCTACAGACTGAGTCTGAGCGACATGAACATCCCATACGCCGACCCTCGGCACCCTTTCCACAAGAAGTCCGCCTTTGATTTGGGCGACGCCGGTGCCGGAATCATGGCGAACAATCTGAAGCTTGGATGCGACTGCTTGGGTTCGATCTACTACCTCAGCTCTGTGCTCTCAGACGACAAGGGAAGCGTAATAGACATGCCGAACGTTGTGTGCATTCACGAGCAAGACGCAGGTATTGGATGGAAGCACACCAACTACCGCACTGGCCGAGCGGCGGTTGTCCGATCGCGCGAGCTGGTATTGCAGTCGATCATCACAGTGTCGAACTATGAGTACATTCTGGCCTTCATCTTCAACCAGGCTGGAGAAGTTACTTACGAAATCCGGGCCACTGGAATCCTGAGTACACAGCCTATTGATGAGGGCGTCGAGGTTCCTTTTGGTACCGTCGTCCATCCCGGTGTACTTGCGGTCCATCACCAGCACATCTTCTCGCTGCGTGTCGACCCCATGATCGATGGCTACAACAACAGACTGGTCTACGATGAAGCCTTCCCGATGCCAAGGTCAGACTTCAACCCACACGGAACTGGGTACTACGTGCAAGAGACCATTGTCGAGAAGTCTGGCGGCTACGACGCCGCATACGAGAACAACCGAACGTTCAAGATCCAGAACCCGAACGTGCGCAATCCAATCAACGGCAAGCCAGTCGCCTACAAGATCCAGGTACCTCCTTTCCAGAAGATTCTCTCAGACAAGGACAGCTTCAACTACAAGCGCGCCGAGTTCTCTGACCACGACATCTACGTAGTCAAACACCGCGACGGCGAGCTATACGCTGGAGGCACATACACCAACCAATCACGAGGCGGCACTGGCGTTCGATCATGGGCCGAGAGGAACGAGAACGTGAAGGACACAGATCTTGTGCTGTATGTTCAGGCCGGTATCAACCATGTGCCTAGAATCGAGGATTTCCCGGTCATGCCGTGTGAGATTCTTAAGATTCATATGAAGCCGGTTAACTTCTTTGATAAGAACCCGGCGCTGGATGTGCCGCCGTCTGAGCAGGCGTTTAATAAGAGTCAGTTGCTGAGCGAGCAGCATCAGCAGCCGAGTGTGGAGGCGACAGTTGGACAGGATGGGTCGTGTTGCGCACCGAAACTGTGAATGTGTCAAGAGGGACGACCAACTTTAGCAAGAAGCCTAGAATGAGCGAGGATCGGACACCGTACTCAACGATAGTCTTCTGTCTCGTTGCACAGCCCGCACATAATGTTCATCGCTACGACTACCTCACAGTGGGTCTACTTTACGTCTCAACTTCGAGCATACACCCTAAAGTCTCAAGAAATTCATGGATCGTCCATCATAGCTTCGAAATACAGTAAGCCTCGTAGATACCGTTCCACGTACTCAAAGACTATATTGACAACCCTCCAACACTTATCGCAACATATTTTGAAAAGCTGTCTTTCTTTGCATGATGATAAAGGGGACCGTGAAAGGCCCGTGCGCTCGCTGAACGCGCTAAGATGTGAATCGCTGGACGTGAGCGCTTCAAAGAAACCACCGTTCTTGCGCCAACTTACATGACCCTTATCGCAGGTTACCCAGATACCCCACACCTCGCCAGTGCACTTGCTGAAGATGCCGCCGAACGACAAAGCAGGACGTGTCGTGTTTATTGGAAACATACCCTATGGTACTGACGTCCTCTAAATCTTACAGGAACACTACTAACATAGCTGTATAGGCGGCACCGAAGAGCTCATCATTGAGACACTTGGCCGTGTGGGTCAGGTACTAAACTTCAGGCTGGTCTATGACAAGGAGACAGGCCGACCCAAGGGGTTTGGCTTCGCAGAGTTCGCCGACGCCGACGCAGCAGCATCCGCGGTGCGCAACCTGAACGACTATGAGATCATGGGCAGGAAGTTGAGGGTGGACTGGTCCAACGACAACGGCTCCGGCGACAACGCGCCCTCCAACCAGAATGCTCCCCCACCGATGAACGGACAGCCACCAGAGATCACGCAGGCGCAGCCTTCGAGCACACTCGGTCCTCTGCCCCCGGGCGTCGATCTGCCACCGAACCTTACATGCCCCGATGCTATATCGCGCACACTCTCCACACTGCCTGCGCCCCAGCTCCTTGACATTCTGTCGCAGATGAAAGGCCTCGTGATGACGGACCCAGCCAAGGCTACTGAACTGCTGCGACAGGCGCCACAGCTGGCTTATGCTATCTTCCAATCTCTCCTCCTCCTCAACCTCGTCGATCCTTCTATGCTGGGCGCGCTGGTCGAAACAGCCCCGGCACCTGCTGCGCCGCCAGTACAAGCTCCTCCACAGCCACAACCCACGCCTGTCGCACGACCGCCTACCAACTACCCCATGCCTCCTGGCTACCCACCGCAAGCTGCTCCTACACCACCGCAGCTTCAGCCGTACGTGCAACCTCCGCCGCAAGCACAGCCGCCAGCACTGGACAACAGTGCGCTGTACGCTCAGGTCATGGCTCTGCAGCCGGAGCAGATCGCGCAGCTGCCACCTGATCAGCGCAACCAGATCATGCAGATTCGCCAGATGATCATGGCTGGGCAACGACCGTAGTTAGGTGCTGGAGTTCGGACGGCACTGCACAGCCACGTAAACGGAGGCGAAGAAAACGTGGACGGAAAAAGAAGCCCGGGCCGGCTGCTAAGACGACTGCGGAACCTACAGAAGGACTTGATGGGTGCGCCAGAGCTCGCGAATGGAGTGATTTTCTGCGCCCGTAAGAGACAGGAAGCCACATGCGCCGGCTGATTTGCTTGGCCTGGAACGCAAACTATCAGAAGAGATGGCGACATTATTGCTACAAGTGGAACAGTTCATGGCGCGCAGAACGCAGCTGTCTACATGATGGCAAGCATACTGCCTACGGACAGTGAGCGCTGCAGATGGAAGCTCAAGGCAGCGTCGGCGACAGGAATGCTTCTAAATTATGATGCATGGAACTAACTCCAGCATTGACATGTCACATGGTAGCAGCAGTAAATACGACAGATATCCCCCATTATTGTTCCAATCTATATTTCGGTCTTGATCACGCAGTCTCTGACAGCCTCGAAGCGTCGACATCTCAAAGCTCAAGCGGCGACGCCGAGGTCATTAAGCGGACCCTGACCCTTGGTATCGCTCCCGCTTTAGTGGGCCCGAGGCTTCAACCGAAGATGTCAACAAAGGACGTAAACACGAGGTACACAACTGATGTCTGTGCAGAGGCCAAGGTTGTAAATCACTGAGCTTGACGATGAATTGCAAGGTAGAGAAGGATGAAGAGCCTCACGGCCCGTCGAAGTGCTTATGGTGGTCGGGCATCTGCATGTGGAGACGTCAGAACCGCGGCGATTGGCCCAGCCCCCATGTCGATCATGGACAACACAGCTGAGGCGGCTAGCTCAAATCATGGCTGCTTCGACATTTCGCATCCTCTACACCTTGCGGCAGACGGCGAGAGGCTGCATTTCGTCTCTTTTGCATAGCGCGCATCTCTGTACAATGCACCTGGAGAATATACTGTATAATACCTGACGATATCACGACGCTAAGAATGCCTCTCACCTGCCGCGACGATACCCAATCTTGTTAGGATATCCCCGACATAGAATTGCCAGTTCAAGTTGCCAGTTCAAATTGCCAGTTCATTTGCGCCCATCGCCGCCCACACAAACCCGCACGCACGCCCCTCTCGCGACCCCAGGCACCATGTGGAGCAGGTTCACGGGCAAGAGCGACAGCGGCTCGTCCACCCCTAAGAAAGAGGACGACGAAGGCCGCCGCCGTCGCAGCGATACTGCGCGGTCGAAGCGCGATCGCGACTCGGACATGCGGTCGGTTGTATCCTCGGCCTCGACGCGCAAGCCTTCGACGCGCCGCACTGATAGCACACCTTCGACCATTGCGAGCTACGCGACTGCCTTTGACGACATGCCGCGCTCACGTGTGCCCAACAACGACGACCCCTACGATGACCCTCGAGACGAGCGCATGTCCCGCCGTGGCGACGGTCGAGACAGGCGGTCCAGCTATGCAGAGTCCTCGGTGTCTGCTGCGCGCGACGGGAAGGAGCGCAAGAAGGAGCGGGAGCGCAGCAGCAAAGACAGCAAGAAGAGCGAGAAGCGCAGGTCGACGCGCTCCGACCGGTCGAGCGTGTCGCAGTCGCAGGCAGGCGGCTACCGGGGCGACATTGTCGAAGAGCCGCGCGCACTGAACCGCAGCTCCAGCGCGCAGATTGGCAGCGAGGCCTTCTCGCAGTTCCCTGGCCAGGTAGGTGCGCCAATGATGAGCGGCGCACTGCCAGCCGGGAGCACTCCCCAAAGCCAGTACCCAGCTTCACCCAATATGTCGAGTCACGTGCAGGACCAGTTTCCTGGCCAGGATCCTGTGCAGTACTCGTCCAGTGCAATGCCCGGCCACAACCCATTCGGTGCTGCTGCCGACTTCTACTACGACCAGGGCCAGTCTGTAGGGAACCAGCCTGGTGTGAGACCCCAACCGCCTTCAGTCATCATAGGCCAGGACACGCCTCACCTCATGGCTGCCTCAGCCCAGGCCAATCCTGTCGCCGATACTGGTGCTGGCTCGGCTGCTGATTTCTATGGCGACGGCTCGAATCCACCCGCATCTTCCTCAAAGCCTCCTCGCCCCACCTCCATGCCAGGCGCTTTTGTCGACGACAATGTTGCACCTCAAACGCCACCGCAACCGAGCGGCTCGAAGCCCAGCAAGACCAACAGCTTCCCCACCACTGCTGCAGGATTAGCTGGTGGAGCTGCCTTGGGCTACGCTATGGGTCACAGCTCGTCCAACACACAGCACTCTACTAGCTACAGCACTTCCAACGTGCACCACAATACATCATACAGCGGCACTCACCCCAACGACACCTACAACAACACGACTCCCGCAGGCCCCAGCGGTCCATCATCTGTATACCACCAAGGCGACTTGCCTTCCACCACTGCTGTTAATGGTAGCTACAGCAACATCCCTGCCTACCAAGAAGCTACGGCAGAGGCACCACCGCCAAAGCCCCCACGGCCTGGCAAGCCAGAGAAGCAGCCGAGCAGCTCGAACGCCGGACTCTATGCTGCTGGAGCTGCTGGCCTCGCAGCCTACGCGCTGCATAGTCATAATTCCCATAATGCGTCCGATCACGCTCACCACACTCACATGCATACTCACAACCACACTCATTCCATGCCTGGTGCTTTCCCTGGTCATGGTTTCAACGGCGCCGGTCCTTCGCCTAGCCCATTTACGTCTGGCGGTATGGCTCATCAGCACCAACACACCGGTCCTGTCTCGAGGTTCGTAGACTGGTGGAAGGATCACGAGGATGTCCAGAAGATGGAGGAGTACACCGAGTACATTGGTGTATGCAGATACTGCTTCGATCCTCGCTCTTCTGTCATGGACGCCCCTCGCAAGCACCACTATTACGATCGCAGACGGCGCTCAGACGAGTACGACCGTCCCTCTGGCGGCATCGACAAGAAATCTCGGTACGGACTGAAAGAGAAGACCTCTCGCACCTCACTGTACTCTTCTGGTGACGACAAGCGAAGGAAGAGCAGCAGCAGTGGTGCAGGATGGCTAGTTGCTGGCCTGGGTGGTATGGGCCTTGCTACTGCTGGGAAGGCACTGTTTACTTCAGGCCGCAACGATTTCGATGATACCTACAGCATCAAGTCTGGTCGCGACAGTCAGTCACGCCACTCGCGCCGCAGTCGTAGCAGGGAGTCCGAGCGCAACAAACGCTACAGCTATGGTAGTGCTGGTATTCGTCACCGAAGCCGCTCTCATGATCGAGTCTCAATCATGTCGACAGGGGTGACCAAAGACAAGAAGGACTACAAGACTGTGAGGCGCCACGGCTCGCGGTCAAGTTCCAGCTCGAGATCACGGGACAGGAAGTCTGGCCTTGGTACTGCGATTGGCGCGGGGCTTGCTGGAGTCGCGCTTGGTGCGGCTACAAGACGAAAGAACGGGAGTCGCAGTCGCTCTAGGTCAGCTCACAAGGTCCACGTTCAGCACCGAAGGAATAGCAGCAGTGAGGACGAGCGCCGACGCCGACGGTCACAACAGCTACGCCACAAGTCATCACGAAGCTCAGCATCTGGCGCCTCCTTCATCGACATCTCTCAGGAGCACCAGTCCCAAGGCGGCTTTCTCGGAGGGTTCTTCGCTGCACCGCCACCAAAGGAGAAGCGGGTCAAGAGGTCAAGCTCGACGCACAAGAAGAAAAAGAAGGGCTTCTTCAACTTTGGCAATGGGTCATCTTCGTCATCCGAGTCCGACATGGCCTTCGGCAGCGGATTCGTGCGAAGGACGAAGACAAAGCGTTCTTCTCACAACCTCAAGAAACAAAGCTCGGATGAGCGCCTCAAGGCTACGCTTGCTGGACTTGGCGCGACTGCAGCGGCTATTGCAGTTGCTAAGGCCAATCGACGCAACATCGGCAAGCCTGAATCTGAGGTCGTGGCAGTACGTGAACGTCGTAGTCGCCAAAGGAGCAGCGATCGTCGACGACCTGGAGCTACCTCACAGTACGGCGATGACGAGTGGGAAGATCTGCCCGACAATGGCACATCTTCATCTGCCAGTGATGGCGACCTAGTGTATGGAGACCTCGACTTGCGCAAGACTCAGAGCCGAGAGTCGCTCAACTCCAATGGCTCGGGCACAAACAAATGGGGTTGGCGATGGGGCTTCGGCAAGAAGAAGAGGCGGTCATCTGACAATCTCTACGACAATATTGCAAGCACATCTCTTGCTCGTCCTGCTGCAGCTGGTGCGATTGGTGCAGCAGCAGCAGCAGGTGTGGCTGCTTCACGTCTATCGCACCACGATAGTGAGTCGAGTAGCCAGCACACGCTACAGACCGTGTATCCAGTCGCCTCAAACGATCCGACAAGCTTCGATGCCAGACGCACTAGCTTGATCTCCACGCCTCAGGCTCTTGTTACTACTGGCCCCGGCGCGATCAGTCTACAGCAGCCTCAGCCAATGCACCAGGTTCCCGGTTCCATCTACTCTACTCAGCCCACATCTCAACAAGGCTACACAGCACCAGCTGGGCCTCCAGTCTTTTCGCAAGTACCTATTCCGCCGTACCCAATGCAAGCTCAGGCTCAAAACATCATCATCAACAACCATCAACACTCGGCCCCTCCAGCATTGCCACGTCGCGCAAACTCATCGCCAATCCAGAAGTCATCGTGGAAGAAGGATGTAGCTATTGCAGGCCTTGCGGCAACTGCTGGAGCAGCTGCCATTGTTGCTGCCAAGGGCAGTGACAGTGACCGCCCATCTAGCGCGCAAAGCAACGTGCGCTTTAACCTGACCAAGGAGCAAGCTGCCAAGGACGCTCGCGAGCGCCGCAAAGAGCAAGACCGCAAGGATGAAGAAGATGACAGACGCCGCGCTCAACAGCAAAGAGACGATGATCTGCGTAGAGAGGAAGAGGAGCGTCGACGGCACGAGGATGAACTTCGTGCAGCTGAAGACGAGCGACGACGCGAACAACTCCGCCGAGAAGATGATCTGCGTCGAGCCGAAGACCTTCGTCGAGACGAGGACGAGCGCCGCCGACGTGAGCTGCAACGCCAACAGGAGGAAGCTCGTAAGTTCATGGAAGTAGAACGCCTTGCCAAGATCGAGACCGACCGTCTTGAGGCAGAGCGACGCCGCCAGCACGACGAGATGGTGGCGCGCGAAACTCAAGAGGCGGAAGATCGAGACTGTCGAGAACGTGAAGCTCGAGCTGAGGCACAGCGCAGAGATGCCCTGGAGCGCGAGGAGGAGCAAAGGCGTAGGGAGCGTCGCGAAGCTGAAGCCATCGAGGCCGAAAGGCGCGAAGCTGAGATCCGCGCAGACATGGACCGTCGACGACGCGAGGAGGATCGTTTCGACAGTGACCGCGATCGACGCAGACTGGACTATCAGCCCACAGGGAGCTCAGTCAATTCGGTGGCCACCGATGTCCGGCGCAAAGAGCAAGAATTGCAGGATCGCGAGCGCGATCTGGTTAAGCCGGATGCCTGGAAGTCTACTGCGGCAGGAGCTGTAGCTGCAGGAGCTGTTGCAGCCATCACAAGCGCAGCAATTTCGTCGCACAAGGACAAGGGCAAGGAGCGTGAACAGCGTCGTGAGAACTGGCGCGATACATCGTCGTCTGAGAAGGAGATCGAACCATCTTACCAGACTTACAAGCCAAGCAAGGCGATCGAGTACGAGCCGAGCAGCGTCAAGACGTATGAGCCGAGCTACGCTCAGATCGAGCCAAGCAAGATCGCCCAGGACTACGCGGACGAAGATATCTTTGACCCTAACATGTTCAAGAAGGAGACAACTAAGGATGTCTTCAAAGACTGGGAAGACAGGTACACTGCGAAGCCAGTATCTCAGGCAGATTTCTTTGCTCCCAAGGACCTTCTCGAGAATGACAACTTGCCCAAAGTCCGCCCTATCGATCCCAATGAGGGGGCTCCTGACCTACATGTCTACGAATCGCTTGACGACTATGGAGCTAGCCAGCCAAAAGGTCCGCCATATCCTCCTTCATACTCGTTTACCGCAACCAGAGACGGCCATGGCCCGCCCATGCCCGATCCCATTCCCACCCTGAACCTAATTCAAGCCACGCCTCCTGGTAGTAGGGCGCCATCGATTCGCAGCGTATCCATGCCCCCTTCACCGAACATCGAACCTGTGCAGGAGAAGGAAGAGCCACGGCCAAAGAACGCACCTTCAAGAGTCAGCTGGGGCGAGAACCAGTTCCATCACTTCGACGTGCCGACCCCTGAGTCTTATAAGGAGCAATTCATTTCGGACCGCGAGCTGAAGGAGCACGATAAGAAGTATTCTCAAGACGAAGTTATTGTCGAGCATGACTCGCCCAAGTCTAGGCAGAAGACAACGACTTACCAGCCTGGAGCCGAGTCGAAAGCTCCAGAGCCAAAGGAGATTGCGCCGAGCACACAGTATGTTCCGGACAGGAAAGACGAGTCCACATGGGACAGCACCGAAAGCGCTATGTCGAGGAAGTCTAGCAAGAAGGACAAAAAGGCAAAGAAAGCTGCTGCTGCGGCTGCCGTTGCAGCAGGTACAGCAGGTGCGTTGACTGCAGCAGCGATCGCGCGGAATGATAAGGACGACGATCCTAGTGACTGGGATTACAAGCATGCCGACAACCGTTCGACCATCAGCAATCCGTTCTCGGACTCGAATGCTGCACGGTCTACCATTGCTGCGTCTACTGTCTCGTCCATTCCGTCGATGGGCGCAGAGTACAAGTCGCCGTCGCCTTACTTCGATTACATCACCGAGTCTGAGACAGGTGTGCCTTCTTTCTCAAAGTTCAAGGACACGACTTTTGACGAGCGCAATGTCACCGCTGTTCCAGAAGAGCTGCACATGCCTGGCGAGTTCATTGAGTCGCCCTCGATTAGCAAGTTCGCCGAGCCTACGAAGAAGGCGGCCGAGGAGGACGATTGGGCGGCTCCTTCATCGAAGAAGAGCAAGAAAGGTAAGCGGAAGAGTAAGAATGCTGATGAGGAAGTAGTAACGCACGCCATTTCACGAAGGGTGGAGTCGGAGCCAGCCCGCGCTCCAGAGCCACCACAGGAGGAGTTCCTACGCACGATGAGCAAGAAGGAGCAAGCGAGGAGAGAGAAGGAGGCAAAGCGCATGAGCATGATGAGCGTGCAGAGCTGGGAGATGAGTGATGACAGCCGACCATCGAGCCCGAACCTTGAGCGCGATATCAGGGATATGGAACCTACCTACAACGCCCCGCCTCCGAGGGACCTACCCAGCGCTTCAGAGCTGTCCAGCTACAATTGGGGAGCTAGCGACGATACGCAGTCAGCAACATCAGTGTCTACGGTAGTTCCCTATCCTCGCCCTACACCAGTTGCACAGGAGAAGAAGGCACGAGAAGTCCGTGACGAAGCACCAGTTAACGTGACGTGGGACAAGCCTGCTTCTGGCGACGTATCTCCAGGTTCAAAGGAGATCACTCAATCTAGAGATGCTCCACGATACGGCGAAAGCAGCAGCAGCAAAGCCACCACTGCTACTCTTGCTGGAGGATTTGCTGCACTCATGGGTGCTTCTGCGAAACAGGATCAAGACCGTATAGCTGCGGAGCGCGAACATGCTAGACAAGCCTTGGAGGCTGCAAGCAAGTACGCCCCTCGTCGAGAAGAGCCTACGTCCCCACCCAATGGCACACGATCACGCGACGACAACGACAAGACCATCACAATCCCCAATTATGCATTTGAAGGCGTTGAGGAGCCCTCTGATAACAAGACACCTCGCCGTAAGCTGGAGAAGAGGCATAGCAGCGGCAAATGGTCACCTACTGTTGGCTCTCCCCTGAGATCCGAGATGAAGTACGACGACTACTTGGGCCGCGCCGTCAAGTACAACTCCCCTGAGCAGACTCGCGTTGAGGCGCCAAAGGTTCCCACTCAGTCTGCCTTCGTACCCGCACCTGAGCCTCCGGCATCGCGCAACATTCAGGACTCTGGCTACTATGCCCCTGATGACCAACAACGCAAGCAGTCTGTGGAGCGGGACTCGGACGAGTTCTTCTCTGCTGGTTCGGAAGAAAGGGAGAGAGAGAAGTTAGAGAAGGCTCGTGAGCAGCTCATTGAGAACTACAACGCATACCCACCCAAGGCGCGAAGCGACTACGACGAAACCAGCACGTATGTGACTGCTTTCAGTCGACCAGATGACGAGGCAGAGACGGCCCGTAGCGATCTTATCGACAAACATAACGCATATGAGCCTTTCTCGCGCAGCCAGCACGATCAAGATGATGCTAGCACATTCGTCTCTGCATTCAGCCGACCTGATGACGACACGAGCACCATCATCGCCTCGAGAAACGAATACGACGATGATGATGATGTGCGATCAACAGTCTCTTCACGAAGCAAGTACGATGACGATCCGGACCGTGAAGAAAGACGCCGTCGTCGTCGCGAGGCAAGAGCAGCTCAATCTGGCAGCCGCGAACAAAGCCGCGACCGAGGCTACGAGTTGGGCGACGGTAGTGAGCGCAAGCGAAGACTTCGCCGCAAGGAAGCTGACGAAAGCGGCTACATATCGGACACAAAGTCAACCATCTCCGAGGCTCGCTCTGAAGCCAACGGTGAACGCAGACGTAAGCACAAGCGAAGGGAGAGCGAAAGGGACGGATCGACTGAGAGCAGGATCCGTTCACGATCGTCTGCTGCGTCTGAGCCCGGTGACTTGTACGATGCTGAACGGAAGTCTTCTCGCAGAAAGTCGAAGCGTGATGACGACTTCGAGGATGGTGCATCTATGATCTCTGCTTCTTCGCGTCGCGACGAAGATCGAAGCAGCAGGCGCAAGGAAGAGAAGGAGAAGGAGAAGGAGAAGGAGAAGCGCTCAAGTGGCTTCTTTGGTCTCTTCAGCAGCAAGTCAAAAGAGAATTTGGCCGAGTCAAGCAAGCCGTCCAAGTCCAAGTCTAGAGATGACGAAGATGGCGAGGACCGCAAGCATCGCAGACGGAAGCATAGGTCGGATCGTGGCTCAACATATGGCTCGGATGACGACGACGCAAAGTCAACTATCTCGACTAGCAGCCGTAGTCACCGCGAGAAGAGGAGTAGCCGCTCTGCACGAGGAGATGACAGAGAGAGGAGGGATCGGGACGACGAAAAGGTACATCGCTCTTCTTTGCGATAGCACCACCGTGCAGGACAGAACGGCCAGTCTCCTGGTTAGCTTAAGGACACAACAGACCAAGACTTGTATAACAGCAAACTCGTCAAGCTAAGCATCGGACTGGACAACATGTTCTGCTAGGTGGTGATAGCGCTTTTCTACGCATGTAATTAGAATGAATGTTAATGTTGTGATAACAGGATCGCTCCCTTTCTCGACACTCCGCTTCGCCTGCCAAGACCGATCAGCAACGACGACAATACGACGAGCAGTCTTTTTTAGACGATAGGGCGGTGGCCGAAGCCACTCCACTGCCCGAAGATGAGACTGATGCCCAAGCACAAAGGGACAGGATCATCCCTGGCAATCGGGCCGAGGCTCCTCTTCCGACTTTGGAGGGTACCCACACATATCTCACGCCATCTGGGGGTATTGATCGACCAAGGACACCGCCACATCTGTCTACTGAAGATAGCCGTGCGTTGTTGACGCGCCTTACGGGCTTGCAGCCGTGGCAGTTGGAGGCTTTTCCTGATGAGCTCCCTCCTTTGCCTATCTCGGGACCAAGCTCGCCTACTCGATCACCAGAACATGCACGACCAACATCATCGTTCAGTGACCGTCGACTGTCCTCTTCAACTGCAGTGCCAATCCGCTTCCGCAAGCCTCCCGTCTCACCAGCTGTACAACAACACGAGTTTGGTGCTGAGTCCGAACCACTATCGACCCCAACCCCTCAGAGCTCACCGTTCCGCCGTCATGCCAAGTCTCCCTCAAAGGAATTCACGACGTCTCGTGAGTTCAGACCATTGTATCTCGTCGAGCGCAACCGCAAGTCCGATGAGATCGATGAGCTCCTTCCCGCTCTGCCATCAAGCGGCAGTCCATCGCGCGCCTCATCTGCCAGAGAATCAGAAACCGAGACTGAAGGCGAGTACGAGTCTGCACATGAGTCTGCGGACTACGAGTCTGCTTTCGAGTCTCCCCACTTAAGCGCTAGCGAGACGTCTGAGGACCCGTTCTTCGACCCGTTGAGCGTGGTGTCTGATCTTATTTCTCCGCACCTAGGGCCTGAAATCGCACATCCTGAGCTGCGAGATCGTGAGATCGAGGAGGTGACCGAGAGTGGTCAAGTTACGCCAAAGGCTTCTGACTTTGTTGCTTCCGCGCAACAAGGGCAACCGTCGTCGACTGGACCGAGCCATAATGCTCTCACAGCGGCGCTCGAGAACGCGAAAGTAGAAGACCGCGATGTATCTAAGGTGTCTTCTCTGGGGAGAGCAAGCCCGCTTGCTGCCAGCCCTTTCTTTGACGACAAGATGATGCGCGATGGGCCGGCTGATCGCAGTGAAAACTATTCGCCGACTAAGTCATCGTCGCTTTTGCAGGAAGCTGCGCTCGGCGCGCTGGCTGGAGGTGCCGTCGGTGCTGCACTGCGTCGCCGTTCGCCATCACCTGAGCACAAGGAGTCCGAGCTGGAGCGCGCCACATCTTCAAGCTCCAATCAAGGCAAAAAGGGCAAGAAGGGCAAAAGCAAGCAGACCTCCTCCACCGAGTCCGAGGCCCCACCCTCTACACCTGCCGAAGAGCAAGCGAAGCCTACTGTCGCTCCACATGTTCCGACTTTCGTAGAGAACGAAGAAGAATGGGCAACAAACAAGCCTGACTCACTAGTAACCGACGATGACACCCTCGTCGGCGAACCGAGCGCTGGTCCCTCCCTCTCGGAGGGCCTCTCGGGGACCACGGAGACAAGAAGGGAGAAGGTGCTAGAAGCCACACAGCTACAGGAGCCGGCTGTTGAGGCTAGACGCTCTGTTATCGGGGCTGCACTCCCTCATCAAGTCGAGCAGGAGATCTTGGAACCCGCTTTCAAAGACGCTGGGGAGGTTAAGAAGGACGATGCTATAGACTCTTTGGTCAAGGACGATGGAGCTTTGACCCCAGCGACCGAGGAGCCACCTGCTGCTATCCCAGAGCAAAATATTGAGGATCTCGAAGTTATCCAGCGTGCTATTCAGGAAGCCCCCGCAGCTCCAGCTGCACCATCGCCACCGAAGGCAGCACCAGTACTGGAACCTGCAAGGTCGTCTTGGAGTTCTGGACTGTGGGGCGCGATTGGCGGTTGGGGCAAGAAGAGGCAGGCTCTGGCTCAGACAACCACACCGGAGCCTGAGGTTTCTGCTCCTGCCCCTGTTGCGGAGGAGAAGAAGGCACGGGAAGTCCGCGACGAAGCACCAGTTGCCGTGGAGTGGAAGCCCGAGCGTCAAATTGCACCACCCACTGTCGTCTCACCTGAAGTTTCTCAGGCTCAGGATACCGCCCGAGAGGAAACTAGTGCACCGCTTACACTTGACACTGAAGCGCCAGGGAAGATAGTGGAGGAAGAGGGGTACAAGGCGCTTCCAAGGAGCTATACGCCGCAGACCGCGATCTTTACGGATGATGGCAGGCCGTTTGGCTTTGGTATGTCGAAGGTCGAGACGAAATTGACGGAAGAACCGACCGAGGCCGCCGGAGACATCGAGCCCGATGTCATCGCTACTCCGGCTAGGGATATGGTCGTTCCAGAGTCACTTATGGAGGGGGAAATTGCCGAGCCTACGACTGTTCGGGAACCACTTGCTGTTGTTGAGCAGCCGAAGGTCGAAGAAGCCGCACTGCCACTGATAACGGCTCCAGTTGCGGATGAAGAGGCGGCTCAGCCAACTTCTGTGAAGAAGAAGAAGAAGAAGAAGGGCAAGAAAAGCAAGCAGAATAGCGCTCAGCTACCTGAACTGATCGCTGAACCAGTCACTGCTGAGGAAGTACCAAGCAAGCAAGCAACAGAGTCGGCTGTACAGGAGACACCGACCCAGTACGTGGTCCCGCAAGCTTCGTATTTCGGTGATGGTGGCATACCGGCTTTCACATTCCCACAACCCGCTTTTGCGCCTGCAGAGACTGAGGAGCAGAGCAGAGATGTACCTGGAGGAGGAGAGGCGAGCAAAGGCGCACCTGCCGAGGTCGCCGAAGTTGCATCCGAGCGCGCACTGGAGCAGGATGCTGCAGTGCAGAACAAACCTTCTCGGTACTCTCTCCCGCAAACTTCTTACTTCGGCGATGGCGGAGTTCCGGCTTTCAACTTTCCGAGCATCACTCCTGCGCCCATCGAGACCGTAGAGCAGACATTGATAGAAACGCCTGGTGTTGGAGAGCCGAGCAGAGATCTACCTGCCGAAGCCTCTGCGGCAATGGACAAGCTTTCCAGCGAGCAAAAGCCACAGCCGGCCACCGAGGTTGAACTCGTTCCAAGCATTCGCGAGATCGTCGCTGATGTGCCTGGAGTCGAGCCCACAATCGATATACATGAGGCTGTCAAAGTAAAAGAGCAGGACGCATCTATACCTGCTTTGGAAGCTGCACCCGTTGTTGAAGACCCTTTGCCAGCCCCGAGCAAGAAGAAGGCAAAGAAGAGCAAGAAGGGTAAGCGTGAGAGTACGCAGGCTGAGACTCCTGTGAATACAAGTCCATCTTTGCCCGTGGTTGAGACACAGCGAGAGTCAATCGCTGATAGTGTTCCGGCTACGACTGTTGACTTTATCGAATCAAATGAGCGCCCACAGCCCGATGCTGCCAATCAGACGAAGCCAGAAGCTTTGGAAGCATTTCTTGGACCCACAGCTGCCATCGACGCCGCAGCCGTACCCTTGCCAGACACTCAAGATGATCTCCAGGAGCCATCTGGCGCTGCACCACTTGTAGAGGAGGCGGCACAAGAACCGGTAGACCCAATCCCTACCCCGTTGCCAGGACAAAGTGCTGAGAGCCTTGCATCTGCAGCCACGCCTGCTGAGGAAGACTGGGATTTTACGTCCAAGAAGAAAGGCAAGAAGGGCAAGAAGAGCAAGAGTGGTGTGAGGACCCCAGAGGTACAGGCTGAGCCTGCTACCGAGCACGCTCTGCCTGCTACCGAGCACGCTCTGCCTGCTACAGAACCCGTCTCGATTGCCCAGGATCCAGCGGAATTACCGAAGGACCACGACGCGCCGCGCAACGAAACAGCGGATGCGGCTTCTGTCCCGCTTCCAGACATCAAAGACGAAGCCGAACCCGCATCAGGACCAACGGAAGTAACGGATTCTGCACCTGTTAAGCAACAGGTCGCGGAATTACCGAGCGAGACTGCGACTCCGCTTACGCCTGTTGAGGCTGATGTTGAAACTGATGCTTGGTTAGAGGGCAGACCACTGGATCACGCATCGACTCTGCTGGAGAAAGAGAACCCGTTGGAGTCGGCTGCGTCTGCAACGGAGACTCCTGCTATCGCCGAGGAAGTCGCGGCGCCCTTGCCTAAGAAGGACAAGAAGAAGAAAAAGAAGAAGGGCAAGGGCCCTGAGGCTCCGGTTGAGGAGGCTCTGCCGACTGTCCAGGACCCAGTTACTGTTGATGAGCCTATTACTACCACCGAGTCTGTAGGGGAGAGCACACCCACCATCGCACAGGAGCCTGTCGAGTCCAGGAGCATCGTTGCACCCAAGGATATCATTGAGGCTACACCCGATGCAGACCCGACTCCAGCCGAAACTGGGATTCTCGAGCCTAAGCTCGACGACGCAGCAGCCGTAGCACCAGCAGAAGCAGAGGAGTCCACAGCCATTGAGCCATCGCCTGTGGAACCAACTCCTGCAGCGCAGGACGAGATACCACCGCCGTTTGCTTCCACTTTGAAGAAAGACAAGAAAAAGAAGAAGGGCAAGAAGAGCAAGTCAGTTGATGAGCCGAGCACACCAGTATCTGAGGTTGAGACTGTCATGCTGCCTGTTGAAGCTGCTCAGGTCGAGCCGACTCTTGAGGCTTCTGCTGATGTCGAAGAGTTTGGAGAATCGAACGTCGAAGGTCGAATTGACCCTGTTGGCGTGCCTTCAAGCGAAGCTGCTACGAAGGAGGAACCTGCACAGTCAGAACCTGCACCGCTTGAGTCTGCGCTTCCCGATCCAGTCGACATCCCTCTGCCTAAGGATGCTGTTGGTCGTGAAGAGCTACAAGTCGATTCACCGATTGTGCCTGTTACGACTTCCCAAGATGACCGCCCAAGTGAGGTCGCGAAGGCCAAGTCTCCTGAGGAGCAGAGCCCAGATTTCTTTGAGAATACGGGTGTCCCTGCGGCCACCGATTCAAATTCGAT